GGTCCTGTGGTCAGGTACGTCCACAAAAGCTTAGCACACATCTAGGAATAGAGATTTTGGGATTTGTGAGGTAACATATGGAAAACGTAGGCTTGACTGCTTGGGTAAAGCAAGCGCTCCGCTGCTTCCCACGTGGCAGGCACAGTTCCAAAACTTCACCACTTTTGGCAGAAATGAAACTTTTCCTGACGCTCTCTCTTTGATGCCTTTGCTTTGTCTGATGCAACTAACCGAAACAAGTGACTCAATCGTACAATTACACGGAGAACGGAAAGAGCTCAATCCCCTTAAATGCCACTGTTAAAAGACCACAAGGGAGTGGAATTTGATTTCAGTTGTAGAGGAGAGGAAAGAGAGGAGATGAGGGGCTTGCAGGGCTCAATAAGTCAATTCTGCCCTTTCTCCCCATCTCAGTTGAACTCTGAAGTTACCTATAGAAGAACTAATAATAATAAAACTTTATTTATACCCCGCTACCATCTCCCCAAGGGACTCGGTGTGGCTTACATGAGGCCAAGCCCACAGTACATCAATAACAAAAGCAATAACAAAAACATTACTTTTGTTCAATGTATTGTCGAAGGCTTTCATGGCCGGAATCACTGGGTTGTTGTAGGTTTTTCCGGGCTATATGGCCATGTTCTGGAGGCAATTTTTCTCCTGACATTTCACCTGCATCTATGGCAAGCATCCTCAGAGGTAGTGAGGTCTGTTGGAAGTAGAAAAAATGGGTTTATATATCTGTGGAATGACCAGGGTGAGACAAAGGACTTTTGTCTGCTGGGGCTAGCTGTGAATGTTTCAGCTGATCACCTTGATTAGCATTCAATGGCTTGGAAGTGCCTGGGGGGAATCTTTTGTTGAGAGTGATTTTATGTGCCTATTTGTTTCCCCTCTGTTGTTTTGCTGTTGTAATTTTTGAGTTTTTTAATACTGGTAGCCAGATTTTGTTCATTTTCATGGTTTCTTCCTTTCTGTTGAAATTACAACAGCATAACAGCAGAGAGTGGGAGCGCGAGCAGGGCTTCTCCAGATGATCGAAGAGATCGTGGGGGTTCGTACACAGAAATGCGGTCACGCAGGTAGGAGGGTCCCAAACCGTTCAGGGCTTTGTAGATAAGAACCTGCACCTTGAATTGGGACCGGAAAATGAACGGCAGCCAGTGGAGCTCTCTGCTTTTCTCTATTGCACTTCCCCCCACCTCAAGCCTTGGAGAAAGGCGGCTAAGAAGTCACATTTGTGATCATGATGATGATGATTACTTCCATGACTAAAATGAGCAAAGGTCTGGAGAACAAGCCCTATCCATGAAATAAAATTGCACTGACACTGTTGGATGTAGTGAACCTTTTTCCAAAAGTGATCCTGCCTGCCTGGAAAATGGACATTTATTTCCTCTTTTTCTGTTTATACTGTGAATAAAGTGAACCCACGTGATTAAAGAAGAGTTTCACCTGTACAACCAGTAAAACAATGTCATCAGAAGAAAGCAGGAAGTGAGCTTCCTTTTGCTAGCATGATTCTCGTCTCCTGTCTACGTATTGTAACATACGCAGCTTCATCTGATTTTGGAAGCCAAGCATGGTCTAATCTAATTGGTACTTAAAAATTCCCAGGTAAAACCAAGGATCTTCAGGTAAAGCAAGGAGAGAATCTTGCATGGAACCTTGAAGAGTCCCTTATACTGAATTGGATCAGTAATTAACTCAGTATAACACAGCATCCTATGGTCTTTGACTGTCCTACAGCCCTTGTCTGTACACAGGCAGGTATGTGATGGATTCAGTTGCTTAAAAATTTGGACATGGATTACATCTGCATTTTTGTAATTACAGAAGAAGAACAACAACAACTTTATTTTTCTACCCCGCCTCCATCTCCCTGAAGGGACTCGGGGCAGCTTACATGGGGCCCAAGCCTAGGCAGAATACAATTAAAATAAAGTAATAACAATGAAAACAGCATAAAACAGCATAACAAAAATAGCTAGCAACAACAACAGCAGACTAATTTTGGGGGGGGGGGGGGGGGAAAACCACTACGTGAACTAGTTAAAGGATAAAGTGGCTTAGTAAGGTAGATGACAATGTATAACGGCATAGGAAAAATCATGGAAACAGATAGGATCAGTTAATATAATATAGGACATCAGATTGAATGACAATTCAAGTCATGATACAGGCAATTTGTCATAGGAGTCGTCAGTCGACACCACGATGAAACATCCACGTCTTTAATTCCTTACGGAATGTGGCTAGGGAGGGTGCCAGCCTAATCTCCCTGGGGAGGGAGTTCCAGAGGCGGGGGGCCACCACCGAGAATGCCCTCTCTCTTGTCCCCACCAGTCGCGCCTGAGATGGGGTCAGGAGCGAGAGAAGGGCATACCCAGAACAGTCCTCACCATCACTTCACTCGGGGGACCCAAATTTACAAACAACTGTCCTGAAACTTCCAGTGAGTGGCGAGTAAAATAATTCAGCATGTGAAAAAGATCTTGGAGTCCTTGTGGACAACAAGTGAAGCATGAGCCAACAATGCGATGTGGCGGCAAAAAAAGCCAATGGGATTTTGGCCTGCATCAATAGGAGCCTAGTGTCTAGATCCAGGGAAGTCATGCTCCCCATGCTCTGTTCTGCCTTGGTTAGACCACACCTGGAATATTGTGGCCAATTCTGGGCACCACAATTGAAGAGAGATGTTGACTCTAAAATGGAATGTGTCCAGAGGAAGGCGAGTAAAATGATCAAGGGTCTGAAGAACAAGCCCTATCAGGAGTGGCTTAAAGGACAGGCATGCTTAGCCTGCGGAAGAGAAGGCTGAGAGGAGACAGGATGAGGGCCAGGGACCGAGAGGGGAGGGGAATATGTCATAGGGAGGGGGGCAGGCTTGCTTTCTTCTGCCCTGGAGACTAGGATGCAATGGAACAATGCCTTCAAATGACAGGAAGTAAATGAGATTCCACCTGAACATTAGGAAGAACTTCCTAATGGTGAGAGAGAGCTGTTCAGCAGTGGAACTCTCTGCCCCGGAATGTGGTGGAGGCTCCTTCTTTGGAGGCTTTGAAGCAGAGGCTGGATGGCCACCTGTCGGGGGTGCTTTGAATGTGATTTTCCTGCTTCTTGGCAGAATGGGGTTGGACTGGATGGCGGCCCACCAGGTCTCTTCCAACTCTAGGATTCTATGATTCTAATGTTGAAGGCTTTCGTGGACGGAATCCCTGGGTTGTTGTGAGTTTTCTGGACTGTACCACCTTGTTCTAGAAGCATTCTCTCCTGACGTTTCGCATGCATCTATGGCAGGTATCCTCAGAGATTGTGAGGTCTGCTGGAAACCAGGCAAGTGAGGTTTATATACCTGTGGAGTAATGTCCAGGGTGGGAGAAAGAACTCTTGTCTGTTGGAGGCAAGTATGAATGTTGCAGTTGGCCATCCTGATTAGCGTTGAATAGCCTTGCAGCTACAAAGCCTGGCTGCTTCCTGCCTGGGGGGAATCCTTTGTTGGGAGGTAGGGTGGGAGAAAGAACTCTTGTCTGTTGGAGGCAAGTGTGAATGTTGCAGTTGGCCATCCTGATTAGCGTTGAATAGCCTTGCAGCTACAAAGCCTGGCTGCTTCCTGCCTGGGGGGAATCCTTTGTTGGGAGGTAGGGTGGGAGAAAGAACTCTTGTCTGTTGGAGGCAAGTGTGAATGTTGCAGTTGGCCATCCTGATTAGCGTTGAATAGCCTTGCAGCTACAAAGCCTGGCTGCTTCCTGCCTGGGGAGGAATCCTTTGTTGGGAGGTAGGGTGGAGAAAGAACTCTTGTCTGTTTGAGGCAAGTGTGAATGTTGCAATTGGCCACCTTGATTAACATTGAATGGCCTTGCAGCTTCAAATCTGGCTGCTTCCTGCCTGGGGAAATCCTTTGTTTGGAGCTGTTAGCTGGCCCTGATTGTTTCATGCCTGGAATTCCCGTGTTTTTGGCATTTCAGGCAGCAACCATCCTGATTAGCACTGAATAGCCTTGCAACTTCAAAGCCTGGCTGTTTCCTGCCTGGGGAAAAAACCCCTTTATTAAAAGGTGGTTAGCTGGCCCTAATTGTTTATTGTCTGGAATTCCCGTGTTTTTGGCATTTCAGGCAGCAACCATCCTGATTAGCACTGAATAGCCTTGCAACTTCAAAGCCTGGCTGTTTCCTGCCTGGGAAAAACCCCCCTTTATTAAAAGGTGGTTAGCTGGCCCTAATTGTTTATTGTCTGGAATTCCCGTGTTTTTGGCATTTCAGGCAGCAACCATCCTGATTAGCACTGAATAGCCTTGCAACTTCAAAGCCTGGCTGTTTCCTGCCTGGGAATAAAACCCGTTTATTAAAAGGTGGTTAGCTGGCCCTAATTGTTTATTGTCTGGAATTCCTGTGTTTTTGGTATTTCAGGCAGCAACCATCCTGATTAGCACTGAATAGCCTTGCAGCTTCAAAGCCTGGCTGCTTCCTGCCTGGGAGGAGGGGGAATCCTTTGTTGGGAGGTGGTTAGCTGGCTCTAATTGTTTATTGTCCGGAATTCCCCTGTTTTTTGGCATTTCAGGCAACAACCATCCTGATTAGCACCGAATAGCCTTGCAGCTTCAAAGCCTGGCTGCTTCCTGCCTGGGAGGAGGGGGAATCCTTTGTTGGGAGGTGGTCAGCTGGCCCTAATTGTTTATTGTCTGGGATTCCCCTGGTTTTTTGGCATTTCAGGCAGCAACCAGCCAAGCTTTGAAGCTGCAAGGCCATTCAATGCTTTGAAGGCCACTCAGGGGCGAAAAGCGAGGAATAAACTTGGCATTTCAGGCAGCAACCAGCCAAGCTTTGAAGCTGCAAGGCCATTCAATGCTTTGAAGCACACTCAGGGGAGAAAAGCGAGGAACAGATAAATAAATCATAACAATAATGATCATAATCATAATGGAAGTGAGCAAGGCCTGGAAGGAAGGCCTCAGCTTGGGCCTGGGTTCTCCTCCGCGGCCTTCTCCTCCCCGGGCTCACCTCCTTTGGGCATCGCGAGGATGATAATGGCGGCGTCGGCTCCGGCAGCAGGCGAGTCCTTCCCCCTCTCACAACTCCCTGGGCTGAAGGGCGGCCCGGAAGCGGAAACAGGGGCCTCTTCCTCTTCCCTCCATTGGGCACGAGGGCGCTCGCCTAAGGACCCCGCTTAGAGATCCAGGTGTCCACTTCACTGCCTGATTAGAAGTGTGAGGAAGTGGCTTCACATTTTGTGTGTGTTTGTGTGTCTTAAGGGACACAGTTAGGAATATATATATATATATATATGTGTGTATGTGTGTGTGTGTATATATATATACACACACACACACACACACCTAACTAATATATAATATTCCTAACTAAAATATTAAATATATATATATATATATATATACTCCTAACTAAAATATTATATATATATTTAATTAAATATTATATATATGCTATATATATTCCTAACTAAAATATTATATATATATAATATATTCCTAACTAAAATATTAAATATATATATTTAATTAAATATATTATATATATTTAATATATATATACTCCTAACTAAAATATTATATATATATTTAATTAAATATATATTTATATTTAAGATATATATATATATATTCCTAACTAATATATATATATATTCCTAACTAAAATATTATATATATATATATATATATATATATATATAATAAATATATATTATATATATTCCTAACTAAAATATTAAATATATATATTTAATTATATGTGTGTGTGTGTGTGTGTGTGTGTGTATATATTCCTAACTTATATATATATATATATATATATATATATATATGTGTGTGTGTGTGTGTTATTATACATTATATATATTCCTAACTAAAATATTAAATATTGTTGTTCATTTGTTCAGTCGTCTCCGACTCTTCGTGACCTCATGGACCAGCCCACGCCAGAGCTCCCTGTCGGCCAGCACCACCCCCAGCTCCTTCAAGGTCAGTCCAGTCACTTCAAGGATGCCATCCATCCATCTTGCCCTTGGTCGGCCCCTCTTCCTTTTTCCTTCCACTTTCCCCAGCATCATTCCCTTCTCTAGGCTTTGCTGTCTCCTCATGATGTGGCCAAAGGACTTCCACTTTGTCTCTAGTCTCCTTCCCTCCAATGATCAGCCGGGCTTTCTTTCCTGGAGGATGGACTGGTTGGATCTTCTCGCAGTCCAAGGCACTCTCAGAACTTTCCTCCAGCACCACAGCTCAAAAGCATCGATCTTCCTTCGCTCAGCCTTCCCTAAGGTCCAGCTCTCACATCCGTAGGTGACTACAGGGAATACCATGGCTTTGACTAAGCAATGGATCTTTGTTGCCAGTCTGATGTCTCTACTCTTCACTATTTTATCGAGACTGGACATTGCTCTTCTCCCAAGAAGTCTGCATCTGCAGTAATCTTTATGCCTAGAAATACAAAGTCTGTCACGGCCTCCACATTTTCTCCCTCTATTTCCCAGTTGTTTGCAATTATAGAATCACAGAATCCGAGACGTAAACTTTGCACCTAGAAATACAAAGTCTGTCACGGCATCCACATTTTCTCCCTCTATTTTCCAGTTGTCAATCATTCTTGTTGCCATAACCTTGGTTTTTTTTATGTTTAGCTGCAACCCAGCTTTTGCGCTTTCTTCTTTCACCTTGATTAGAAGGCTCCTCAGCTCCTCCTCGCTTTCGGCCATCAGAGTGGTGTCATCTGCATATCTGAGGAATAGATATATTATATATATTCCTAACTAAAATATTATATATATATATATATATATATATATATATATATATAATATTCCTAATTAAATTATTAAATATATGTATTAATAATTTTTATTGAATTATCACATTTATTACATACCATTGCATTTTGTACATCAGCCTCTTTAACATGTTGTTTTATTATTTTGCTCTAATATTTCTTTTCTATTTTTTCCTTTTTATCACCACAGTGCTCCCCTCCACCCTTCTCAAGCCACAATTCTTACATTTCATCTGTCCAAAATTTCATTTCTTCTATATAATATATATATTATATTCCTAACTCTAATATATATATATATATATATATATATATATATAAAATTAAATATATGTTATATATATTCCTAACTAAAATATTAAATATATTTATTTATTTAATTAAATAAATATATATTTATATTTAAGATATATATATATTCCTAACTAATATATATATATAATTAAATATATGTTATATATATTCCTAACTAAAATATTATATATATATATTTATTTAATTAAATATATATTTAAATTTAAGATATATATATTCCTAACTAAAATATTAAATATATATATTTATTTAATTAAATAAATATATATTTATATTTAAGAGATATATATTCCTAACTAAAATATTATATTTATATTTAAGATATATATATTCCTAACTAAAATATTATATATAATATTATATATATAATTATATAAAATATTATATATAAAATTAAATATATGTTATATATATTCCTAACTAAAATATTAAATTTATTTATTTATTTAATTAAATAAATATATATTTATATTTAAGATATATATATTCCTAACTAATATATATATATATATATTATATGTCCCTAACTGTTTCCTTTAAGACACACAAACACACAAAATGTGAAGCCACTTACTCACATTTCGAATCAGGCAGTGAAGTAGACACCTCGATCTTTAATAGAGGGCCTTAAATTTCCCAATGGTATCGACGCGGATAGGTGACGTTGTGAGAGAAGCCCCTCCCCCCGCTTATTGAGTGACGTCACTGCGAGGCGACGTTGGGAAATCAGAAAAGGCGGAAGTGTGCGAGGAAGAGCTGAGTCCCAGGTGAGATCTTTGGCCTGTGAATTGTTAGTGGGGGAGTCTCTCATCTGGTATCACCCACGGACTGAGGTTCTGGGTTTGAGCCTGCCACTTTTGGACTCTCGCTTGCTGAGGTGTTAGGCTTTTTTTAAAAAAAATAAGATCTTACATTGTATATTGAATTGTTTTTTTTAAAAAAGAGAATAAGCAGGATCTCAATCGGTCTTCTTATTTATTTATTTGGTTTACTTTTACCCCGCCCTTCTAGTCCCGAAGGGGACTCAGGGCGGCTTACACATCCAAGGCACAATTCGATGCCCGTAACATACAACAACAATAAAACAGAATAACGCAAATTAGCAAACAACAACAATACATTACATCTAGCCCGTTAAAACCAATAAAACCAATAAAAATTTCATACAAACCGGTACAAACCACTTCTTCCTTATTGCCGGTCAATATTCGCTATCTCATAGTTCACAGTTTCCTTCCACATTTATCAGTCCTGCCGGTCCTATTCGTCTGGCTGTCCTTATCTAGTTTGCAGATTGCCCAAAGGCCTGGTCCCACAACCACGTCTTTACCTTCCTCCTGAAGGACAGGAGGGATGTCGATGCCCTGATATCCACTGGGAGCGAGTTTCACAGGTGAGGGGCCACCACTGAGAAGGCCCTGCTCCTCGTCCCCACCAGCCTCGCTTCGGAAAGCGGTGGGGTCGAGAGCAGGGCCCCCTCAGATGATCTTAAATTCTGTGGTGGGACGTAGAGGGAGATATGTTCGGACAGATACGCTGGACCGGAACCGTACAGGGTTTTGTAGGTCAAAACCAGTACCTTGAATTGGGCTCGGAACTGGACCGGCAGCCAGTGGAGCTGACACAGCAGAGGGGTGGTGTGCTCTCTGTATGTCGCTCCAGTGAGCAGCCTGGCTGCCGCTTGCTGGACCAGTTGAAGTTTCCGAACCGTCTTCAAGGGCAACCCCACATAGAGCGCGTTGCACTAGTCTATTCGGGATGTAACAAGAGCATGGACCACTGTGGCGAGATCAGACTTCTTCTTAGGCGATCCAAATTCTTAGGCCTCTTTGAATTCCGCAGCACTGCTGGTCACAGCTGACCTCCAGTTAGAACGCTCAAGGGCCAGGTTTTCCCAGTTTTCTCTCGGTGTCTATGACACAGTTTTTAAGATTGGCTTTATTTATTTGTTTATTTGTTTATTTGTTTATATTTACGACATTTATATGCCACCCTTCTCACCCCAAAGGGGACTCAGAGCGGCTTACAAGATATATAGGTTGCCCCACCTCCTCTATCTTGTTCATGCCCAGCATTATTTTGTAACTTAATTGCAATGGCCCAGCCATAGTTTTAAATGTGTCTTGTGTTATTGTTCAATGCTTATGCTAATTGTGTATGAGATTTATTTTAATTGCTTTGTATTAGTAGTTGTATTTTGCTTCGTATTGTGGTTGTTATTGCTTGTATTGTTGTATTGTGGGCTCGGCCTCATGTAAGCCGCACCGAGTCCCTTGGGGAGATGGTAGCGGGGTATAAATAAAGTTTTATTATAGTATTATTATTATTACATACAATATATGATATTATTAGCATATCAGTTTTTTTGTTGTTGTTGAGTCGTTTCCGACTCTTCGTGACCTCATGGACCAGCCCACGCCAGAGCTCCCTGTCGGCCGTCACCACCCCCAGCTCCTTCAAGGTCAGTCCAGTCACTTCAAGGATGCCACCCATCCATCTTGCCCTTGGTCGGCCCCTCTTCCTTTTCCCTTCCCTTTTCCCCAGCATAATTGTCTTCTCTAGGCTTTCCTGTCTCCTCATGATGTGGCCAAAGGACTTCCACTTTGTCTCTAGTCTCCTTCCCTCCAGTGAGCAGCCGGGCTTTATTTCCTGGAGGATGGACTGGTTGGATCTTCTCGCAGTCCAAGGCACTCTCAGCACTTTCCTCCAACACCACAGCTCAAAAGCATCTCTCTTCCTTCGCTCAGCCTTCCCTAAGGTCCAGCTCTCACATCCGTAGGTGACTACAGGGAAGACCATGGCTTTGACTATGTGGACCTTCATTGCCAGTGTGTTGTCTCTACTCTTCACTCTTTTATTGAGATGGGTCCTTGCTCTCCTCCCAAGAAGGAAGCATCTTCTGATTTTCTGGCTGCAGTCTCCATCTGCACTCATCTTTGCACCTAGAAATACAAAGTCTGTCACAGCCTCCACATTTTCTCCCAGTTGTCAATCATTCTTGTTGCCATCATCTTGGTTTTTTTGATGTTTAGCTGCAACCCAGCTTTTGCGCTTTCTTCTTTCAACTTGATTAGGAGGCTCCTCAGCTCCTCCTCGCTTTCAGCCATCAAAGTGGTGTCATCCGCATATCCACATAAGGTTGTTAATGTTTCTTCCAGCAATTTTAACCTCAGCCTTGCATGCGAATGACACCACTCTGATGGCCGAAAGCGAGGAGGAGCTGAGGAGCCTCCTAATCAAGGTGAAAGAAGAAAGTGCAAAAGCTGGGTTGCAGCAGTGTTCTGCATACAAGTTAAAAAGGTTGGGTGAGAGGATGCAGCCTTGCCGTACGCCTTTCCCAATCTTGAACAAGTCTGTTGTTCCATGGTCAGTTCTGACTGTTGCTACTTGGTCCTTGTACAGATTCCTCAGGAGAGAGACAAGGTGGCTTGGGATGCCCATCCCACCAAGAACTTGCCACAATTTATTATGATCCACACAGTCAAAGGCTTTAGAATAGTCAATGAAGCAGAAATAGATGTTTTTCTGAAACTCCCTGCCTTTCTCCATTATCCAGCATCTGGATATTGGCAATTTGGTCTCTCGTTCTTCTAATATCAGTTTTATATATTACTATATTGTAATATACCATTATATTGTAATATTATTAGTAATATTATATGTCATATAAAATATATAATTATAACATAGTATTATTTATTATTTATTTATTTTAAACCTTTTTATCCCGTTCTTCTCTAACCTCCATGAAGGGACTCAGAATGGCTCACAGCAGGGATTCAATGCTAACAATAAAACAATGTAAAACATGATACATAAATAATAGGTTAAAATACAAATAAGATAAAGTACATATAAAACCAATTTGCCAAGATAAAACAACGTCCAACTCAGTCCGCACATTGTTGTCAATAATTTACCGGTCTCAGCCATTACTCATTCCACAACCATGATTTTACTAGCTTCCTAAAGGTCAGGGCGGAGGGGGCAGATCTAACTTCATTTGGGAGAGATTTCCATAGCTGGGGAGCCACCACAGAGAAGGCCCTGTCTCTCGTCTCCACCAGACATGACTGCGAAGGTGGCGGGACCGAGAGTAGGGCCCCTCCATAAGATCTTAACGCCTCAATGGTTTATTGGGGAGAATACGTTTGGAAATAATATTATAATTATATTGTATGACATTATAATAGTATATATATACTATATGTATTTTCTGTTCTATTCTATTACATTATTAGTAAAGCACAGGAGACAAGATGGAACTGTCTTCTGCCCCCCTTTCTCTTCACTCTGGACCAGAGAAGCAGTTGGTGCTGGGGGTCAGGGTTCCCAAGCGATGACATAGGCAGGAGACAAGTTGGAACTCTCTTTCAATCTCTTTTCCTGTCCTCCAACATTCCGTTTTCCATTCTTGAGTTCGGAGTAGAGCAACTGCTTTGGGAGACAGTGATCTTTAGGCATACAGACAACGTCGCCGGTCCAGCAGAGTTGATGGCAGAGTACCATCGCTTCAATGCTGGTGGTCTTTGCTTCTTCCAGCACGCTGACATTTCCCCACCTGTCTTCTCAAGAGATTTGCAGGATTTTTTGGAGGCAACACTGATGGAATCATTCCAGGAGTTGCATGTGACATCTGTAGACAGTCCACGTTTTGCAGGCATTTAGCAGGGTTGAGAGGACAATAGCTTTATAAACAAGCACCTTGGTATTGTCGAAGGCTTTCATGGCCAGAATCACTGGGTTGTTATAGGTTGTTCGGACTATATGGCCATGTTCTAGAAGCATTCTCTCACACTAAACAAGGTGTCCTATTGAAACATTGACACCTAGATCTAACAGACAGGAGTTCCTTTTCCCGCCCTGAACATTTCACAGATATATAAACCCAATTTTCCTAGTTCCCAACAGAAATTATTTAATTTGTTTGAATCGGTGTAGGAAATTTATAAAAAAATAACTATTAGGGGAAGGCCGTAGAGAACCACCTACAAATAAATCTCTTGCTAAGAAATCTTTATGATAGGGTCACCATAAGAGTCCTCTTGATGGCACACTAGTTCTGTTCTCCAGCCACCATTCACATAGAGATTTTTAAAACCAAGTGGTTGTACTTCATATTGCTATGAAGGCATTTGTTTTATTGCCGTTTTTTCCCTTTTCAGATCCCAAGGAGATGCCCAAAGTGAAGAGAAGCAGAAAACCTCCTCCAGATGGTTGGGAATTAATTGAGCCCACCTTAGATGAACTGGATCAAAAAATGAGAGAAGGTGAGTAGTGTGGTGGAGGCTCCTTCTTTGGAAGCTTTTGAACAGAGACTGGATGGCCATCTGTCAGGGGGGCTTTGAATGCAATATTCCTGCTTCTTGGCAGAATGGGGGTTGGACTGGATGATGGCCCAGGAGGTCTCTTCCAACTCTAGGATTCTAGGATTCCTTCTATGTGATAAGATGGCATAATGCAGATGTAATCAACTGGACTGAACTAGAAAAATAACATCCTTCTGCTTCTTTCCCCCCCCCCCCCCCTCTCAGCTGAAACTGAACCCCATGAAGGGAAGAGGAAAGTGGAGTCCCTCTGGCCCATCTTCAGAATCCACCATCAGAAAACACGCTACATTTTCGATCTCTTCTATAAGAGGAAGGCCATCAGTAGAGGTGAGGCGAGCGCCCTTTTGATTTCTTGGTGAAAGATGGTGCAGATGTCGTATGTCTTGCCTACCTAGCTCTACGTGTTAGCAAGAAAAAGGATATATTATGAGCTCTGTTTTTTTTTCCATCTCTGTCCTGCATAGAATTGTATGAGTATTGCATCAGAGAAGGATACGCAGACAAAAACTTAATTGCCAAGTGGAAGAAACAAGGTTACGAAAACCTCTGCTGCTTACGCTGCATCCAAACGAGAGATACCAACTTCGGGACCAACTGCATCTGCAGAGTACCCAAGGGCAAGCTGGAAGTGGTAAGAACACATTCTTTTCTTATGTCAGTAGAAAAAGGGAAAACAAGGAGGCGATAGGGCCTCTTCGAGGAGAAGATGGGGCAAGGGGATAGGGAAAAGGCAGAACTACTTAATGCCTTCTTTGCCTCGGTCTTCTCACAAAAAGAAGGTCATCTTCAACCACTAAAATGATCAAGGGTCTGGAGAACAAGCCCTATGAGGAGCGGCTTAGGGAACTGGACATGTTTAGCCTGAAGAAGAGAAGGCTGAGAGGAGATATGATAGCCATGTATAAATATGTGAGAGGAAGCCACAGGGAGGAGGGAGCAAGCTTGTTTTCTGCTTCCTTGGAGACTAGGACGCGGAACAATGGCTTCAAACTACAAGAGAGGAGATTCCATCTGAACATGAGGAAGAACTTCCTGACTGTGAGAGCCGTTCAGCAGTGGAACTCTCTGCCCCGGAGTGTGGTGGAGGCTCCTTCTTTGGAAGCTTTTAAACAGAGGCTGGATGGCCATCTGTCAGGGGTGCTTTGAATGCAATATTCCTGCTTCTTGGCAGAATGGGGTTGGACTGGATGGCCCATGAGGTCTCTTCCGACTCTTTGATTCTATGATTCAGCAAACTGTTTTTTTGGAATTGTGTCATATCTCACTCAAGCGTAGTGAAGTTAAAACTCATGGAAGGCAGCAGTAAACAAATTCTCGCACTCATTTCTTGCAGGACCCTAACAGCACAGACCCACCTATATCCAACTGGTAGTCCCATTTATTGAATCGAATCAATAGATTCCAAGATTAGCAATCGCCTTTTCGGTCCATTTAAAAAATAAATAAGACTTGTACTAATTTGTTTCCCGTGTCACTCCACAGGGGCGAATAATTGAGTGCACTCACTGCGGTTGCAGGGGCTGCTCTGGATGAAGCCGTTCAGAAAGGAGTCCCGCCCTTCTGAGAGAAGTTCCCCCATGGCTGCCTCCACCCCCGGGACTGTGCGGAGGAGCTACGACCCTTCCTTTTGTAACTATTTTGCTCTGAATGGACCTCCTCAGCACTCTGTGCTGCATTCGTCTGAATTGTAAATGCAAGTAGCGTGTATTGACTTTCCTGTGTACGCATTTTATTTTGAAATAAAGCTGTGTTTGTTTCTCCTTGCACGGTTCTGTGCTGCTGTGGTTATTCTTCACGCCATCAGTTTGAGAAGGAACTCATTAAGCAGATCTTTAGCTATATAAATAAAGATGTAATGTTCGTTTGTGGGATTAACATAACTCAAAAACCACTGGATGAATTGACACCAAATTTGGACACAAGACACCTAACAACCCAATAAATGATCATCACGGGAAAAAAATTGAATTTGTCATTTGGGAGTTGTAGTTGCCAACTTCCTCTTGGCAAGTTTCTCTCTTTCACCCTCCATTTGTGCATCTTCAAATTCTGCAGCACTGCTGGTCACAGCTGACCTCCAGCTGGAGTGCTCAAGGGCCAGGGCTTCCCAGTTCTCGGTGTCTATGCCAGAGTTTTTAAGGTTGGCTTTGAACCCATCTTTAAATCTCTTTTCCTGCCTTTCCATTCTTGAGTTGAGAGTAGGGCAACTGTTTTGGGAGATGGTGGTCGGGCATCCGGACAATGTGGCTGGTTGATGGTGGAGGACCATCGCTTCAGTACTGGTGGTGTTTGCTTCTTACAGCACGCTGACATTTGTCCACTTGTATTCCCAAGAGATTTGCAGGATTTTCTGGAGGCAGCGCTGATGGAATCATTCCAGGAGTTGCATGTGATGTCTGTAGACAGTCTACGCTTTGCAGGTGTATAGCAGGGCTGGGAGGACAATAGCTTTATAAACAAGCCCCTTGGTCTCCCTACGGATGTCCTGGTCCTCAAACACTCTCCATTCAGAAAAATGCTGTACTCACAGAGCTCAGGTGGTATTGTATTTCGGTGTCAATGTTGATGTCTGTAGACAGTCCACATTTCGCAGGTGTAGAGCAAGGTTGGGAGGACAATAGCTTTATAAACAAGCCCCTTGGTCTCCCTACAGATGTCTCAGTCCTCAAACACTCTCTGTTTCATTCGGAAAAATGCTGCACTTGCAGAGTTCAGGCGGTGTTGCATTTCGGTGTCAATGTTGACGTCTGTAGACAGTCCATGTTTCGCAGGCATATAGCAGGGTTGGGAGGACAATAGCTTTATAAACAAGCCCCTTGGTCTCCCTCCGGATGTCCCATACACTTGCATTGCTATAGCAGCCCACACTATAATCCTTTGGCTCACAGCTCATTAAAACCTATGTGGCTTGAGAGTTTGCTAACCTTCCTGAAACATGTTCTGCTAGATTGTAAACTGGATCAAAATGGAATACATTCCACAGGGCGGGGGGGGGGGGGGGGGGACGGGACACACCTCAAGCTATTCAACCTCTCATACTATTAAGTGGTTGTGTTTACCTATATCTTTTTTCTTCATCACACAAGGGAAAAGGAATACGATTATTTCAATTTTATGCAGTTTTCCTCGTTAGGAATGAAGTATGACTTGTGTAATCGATGCCCTAGAGCAGGTATGGGCAAACTTGGGCCCTCCAGGTGTTTTGGACTTCAACTCCCACAATTCCTAACAGCCGGTAGGCTGTTAGGAATTGTGGGAGTTGAAGTCCAAAACACCTGGAGGGCCCAAGTTTGCCCATACCTGCCTTGCAGCCATATGCGTATACAAACAAGTGATGTGAAGTGTTAGTACAATAATTTTGCAATGGGTTGCTATTTCTGTAAATAACACAACTGCAATACAGTATCAACATCTGTGTTTATTCTACTGTCCCATTTCACCCCTGTGCTTTTGGCCATCGTCGGAATCGTCTTTCATTTCCGGCTGCTTTGGCGTTCTGTATTTGGCCCACGGGTGCGGCGTTTCTTCTGCTTCCATCCACTTGAGCCAGCGGAAGTAGTAGGCCCGAAAGCCATCAATTCTCTCCAGATACGGGTCCTTTGTTTTGTACTGCGAGAGGAAAAAAGAACAAGAATAAACACTTCCTGGAAGTACTATTTGTGCAAAAGCGCAATGTCAATATTGCCTAGTTTCAAGTCTTCAAAGCATTTTCCACATCAGTTAACTAACCCGATGACCAGCCACTGCCAGAAGGGACAGAGAGTTTCATCGATGCTGATGATCGTGCCATCACTGCTCAAGCAGGGAGCTTTGAGATGGTTGAACAGAAGCTCTCCGAAGCTCTAGGTGCTCTTACTGCCTATTACAGGGAAAACCAGCTGATCCCTAATCCATCTAAAACACAGACATGTGCCTTTCACCTTAAGAACAGACAAGCATCCCGAGCTCTGAGGATCACCTGGGAAGGAATCCCACTGGAGCATTGCAGCGCACCCAAATCCCTGGGAGTCACTCTGGACCATGCTCTGACCTACAAGAAGCACTGCCTGAACATCAAGCAAAAAGTGGGCGCTAGAAACAATATCATACGAAAGCTGACTGGCACAACCTGGCGATCACAACCAGACACAGTGAAGACATCTGCCCTTGCGCTATGCTACTCTGCTGCTGAGTATGCATGCCCAGTGTGGAACACATCTCACCACACTAAAACAGTAGATGTGGCTCTTAATGAGACATGCCGCATTATCACAGGGTGTCTGCGCCCAACACCACTGGAGAAATTACACTGTTTAGATGGTATTGCACCACCTGACATCCGCCGGGAAGTAGCAGCCAATAGTGAAAGGACCAAGGCAGAGACATCTCCAGCTCATCCCCTGTTTGGGTATCAGCCAGCACGTCAATCGACTTAAATCAAGAAATAGTTTTCTAAGATCTACAGAGACACTCGCTGGAACACCTCAGCAAGTGAGAGTCCAAAAGTGGCAGGCTCAAACCCAGAACTGATACCAAATGAGAGACTCCCTCCTGGGCACACAGAAGAAGACTGGGCAACTTGGAAGGCGCTGAACAGACTGCGCTCTGGCACCACGAGATGCAGAGTCAACCTCAAGAAATGGGGCCACAAAGTGGAATCCACGACATGCGAGTGTGGAGAAGAGCAAACCACTGACCACCTGCTGCAATGCAACCTGAGCCCTGCCACATGCACAATGGAGGACCTTCTTGCGACAACACCAGAGGCACTCCAAGTGGCCAGATACTGGTCAAAGGACATTTAATCAGCTACCAAATTTGCAAAATTTGTGGGTTTTTTAATCTGTTTGTTTATTTTGTTCTGTTAGAAATGTAATACAATGTTCTGGTTGCGGATGACACGATAAATAAAATAAAACTAACCCGATCAAAGTGCGGTGGATACTGGGCTGCGAACTCCAATTGGCGGATGACCACTTCGTTTGGAGGGACTTGGGTGTTCCTCATATCCTTTAGGATCTCTATCAGGTAGGCATAGTCCAGTCTCTTCACGGCAGCGTTGATCAAGGTACTGTAGATGTGCACATTGGGATTTTGGGCAGATTGCTGAAAATGAACAGCCCCAGAGAGTAAGATCCAGGCATCTCTGAAGAAACCATACAGTTGCTTCTCTGGGTATTGAGGCACAGAGCCAGAGGTGGACAAAGGGCATCTTTATGTCTCACTACGGCCACTTATTGGCTGCCATATAACCCAGGTTATCAAATCAGATACACCACATTCTCTGCTTTGTACTGGATTATATGAGTGTACACTATCATATAAAGCAGATAATCTGGATTTTATATGGCCATATAGAAGAGGTCTAATTGATATGCTCAGCCTTGCCCAGGTGTCCTTGGGAGCACTGCTCATCTTTCTCCCTTCTCCAGCTCTCACCATGTCTCCATGGCAGCACTCGAGCAATGGTGGGCAGGCTCCCTCCTTCCTTCCTGTTTCTTTCTCTCATTTTTTACTTTCTTTTCTTCTTCCCTTACTTTTCCCCATATTCTTTTCTTTCTCTTCACATTCTTTCTTTCTTTCCTTTCTTCCCTCTCAGCATACCCTTTCCCCTTCCCTTTCTATTCCTCCCATCCCTTTTCTTTCTTTCTCTTCCTTCCTTCCTTCCTTATTACAGTAAGTAATTAATACTTAGTAATCTCATTAATACTGACTTGAATTATCCTTACATTTACAATTCCTTCATCACCTCTATCTTTTCCCTTATATTTTATATAATACAATAAATATACTCTATCTTCTTTCACATATAATATAAACTTATAGTAAGTTTATCCAATCACTTACCGTTATAAAAGACGGTAATACGTGTCAAATTCTATTTATATTAATACAAAGAAATTCTTTAGTATATAAGCACTTATATTCCCTTATGTTCCTAACATCCGTCTATCTCTCTTACATTCCTCCCATCCATTATCAGGTATATTGCTCTCGTTCAATTATTGATTTATATTAATACACATCACTTCTCTACTCTTCTATTTAATCTTCTTCTCACCTTATTCAATCTCTTCACTTCCCTCTTATATCTAAACAAAGTACCCTTCGTATTGCTACCAATCAATTCTCATAATCTTTTTCAATTCTTTTACCAATTTTCTTAATCTTCTCTTTATCTACTCTTTATATTACCCAAATCCAAGCTTTACTATTTCCCTTACTCTTGTCTATTCCTGTCACCCTTCTCTCTCCTCCCTTCCTCACTTCTGTTCATACCATTCCCTTAGATATCTCTATCTCTTTACATTCGCTTCAAAATAACTTCTGTCTCTTTCTCTTACCTTCTCTTTCTATTCCTCCCATCCCTTTTCTCTTTCTCTTCCCCTTCTTTCCCTCTCTTCCCCTTCCCCTCTTTCTCTCTCTCTCTCCCCCTTCCCTTCGTATTTCTCCCAACCCTTCTCTCTCTCTCTTTCCCTTCTCTTCCCTTTCTATTCCTCCCATCCCTTTTATCTCTCTCCTTCCCTTCACTTTGTATTCCTCCCATCCCTTCTCCCTCCCCTCTCTTTCCCTCTCTTTACAATTCCTTCCACCCCTTCTCTCTCTTTCCCTTCTCTTCCCTTTCTATTCCTCCCATCCCTTCTCTTTCTCTCTTTCTTCTTTCCCTCCCTCCCTCTCTTCCTTCTTTCCTTTCCTCCATCACCTTGCTTTCCCAGTGACATCACTGGGGGACACTTCACCTAGCAAGAGCCAATCCTTCAACTAGCCACAACCCATCCACTTCAGTTCTTTTCTTTCCCTCTGCTCTGGTCCCAAAGCTGAGTTGAGAATACTTATCCTTTTCTTTGCTAATACAATGGAAGCTCCAAACCCCCCAATCCAGATCGGTTGGTACCTTCATATCTGAAAGTAACTGCAGTCCATCCTTCTGCTTCCGGCAGGCGATGGCCAAGTTACAAAAAGTCTGCAAATTGGGCGACAGTCCTTTCTTCCGCAGCATTGGCATTAAGCTCTGCAATATATAAAGACAGACAGCCTTGGCCTTTGTAAGCCGCACCGAGTCCTTCGGGAGATGTTAGCGGGGTACAAAAAAAGTTAATAATAATAATAATAATAATTGATGGGGATGTAAATATTCCGTGCTGGAACAATGTATGGAATAATGCCAATTATGTAAGCCGCCCTGAGTCTCCTTCGGAGTGAGAAGGGCGGGATATAAATGTTGCAGATAAATAAATACCGTATATACTCGAGTATAAGCCGACCTGAATATAAGCCGAGTGTGAAGGAGTGTGGTTAAAGCTTACTGCCACCTAATGTGTGAGGAAAGCTGGGCAACGATCAATATCAGCTTAGGGGCTAGTTTATAAAGGGACTATTAATTACAGAAGGCTTTATTCATTTGATAGCGTAGCGTTTACTGTCCCTGGCTTGACTTTACTTCTTATGCAGGCTGTTTGCCTTGAGAGAAACTGTATCAGGCAAGGCTTGAGGAAAACAGTAACAAGTTTATTTTAACAGGAGTATAACATGTTTAACCGTTTCTTCACAAGAGGCACAAATCTTGATTGGTTACATTACTAAGGTTTCATGAGTAATCTCAGGCACAGACTTCAAGAGGTTTCTATAAGCAGATGTAACTCTTCTGGACAACTGTCCTAAATAAAACAAATAAGCTAAAAGGTTTATTAACAGAACTGGCTCCCAGCCAAACCTTGATTCTTAACTCAGAATCAATAACCCCCTGTAGTTTTATCACTACCGGGTCCTTTTCTGCAACCCCTTTGGTCACCAATTAATTCCCTGAATCTCCACCCAGAGATTCAGTCTTCCCTATAGCACACCGGCTACAGACACATTCCCTGAATCTCCACCCAGAGACTCAGTCTTCCCAGTAGCTCACCGGCTTACTGACTGACTTTCAAAACAGCTGCCCCGTGAAGAGGCAGTTGGCTCCGCCCCTGTTGCTATGGCAACTCAGCTAACACCAAGCCACCATCTCCAACAAAATATATTCCTTCATACATACCATTTATCAACCACTGTCTAAACAACACATAAACATGAGAATAAAAGTTACACATCGCCACACCGAGGCACCTAATTTTACCACACAAAACTGAGAAAAAGGATTGACTCGAATATAAGCCAAGGGTGGGAAATGCAGCCGCTACGGGTAAATTGCAAAATAAAGATAGATACCAATTAAATTACATTAATTGAGGAATCAATAGGTTATATGGTTTTGAATATTTACAAAAATGGCAATTTAAGACAAGACTGTCCAACTCTGATTAAATGATTATTTACCTTCTTCAATGTAAATGTGCTTACCTATCCTTTCAATAATAATAGAGAGAATAACACAATAAATGTAATAATAACAATAATAATAAAAAGAGTAAAATGATGAATGTACCAATAACAATTATACAGTAAAATAATAAATGTATAATAATAGAGTAAAATGATAAAAGTAAGAATAATAAGTAGAATAAAATAATAAATGTAATAATAATAATAATAATAATAATAATAATAATAATAATAATAACAATAATAATAGAGTAAAATAATAACCGGCCTTCTCACCTCAACCGAGGGACTCAGGTCGGTTTACAGCATATATGCAATTACAAAATATACAAATACAACCGAGTGCAACATCATTAAGGATTAAAACCACACAATAAAATACAATAAAACATCATCATTACAATTACCCAGGCCAAAACGTCAATACAATCGCAGTCGTAGTCACAGTTCATTAAAGATTCAGTCCTCAAAAGCCACATTCCAGAGCCAGGTATTTAGTAATTTCCTGAAAGTTAGGAGGGAGGGGGCAGATCGGATCTCTAGTGGAAGGGCGTTCCAGAGCCGGGGAGTCACCACCGAGAAGGCCCTGTCTCTCGTCCCCACCAAGCGCGACTGTGAGGGTGGTGGGACCGAGAGCAGCCCCCCCCCCCCGGAAGATCTTAATAGCCTTGATGGCTCATAGGGGAGAATCCGTTCGGACAGATAAACTGGGCTGGAGTCGTTTAGGGCTTTGTAGGTCAAAACCAGCACTTTGAATTGTGCTCGGAAGCTAATCGGCAGCCAGTGGAGCTGGCGTAACAGAGGGGTTGTATGCTCCCTGTACCCAGCCCCCGTTAGAAATCTGGCTGCCGAGCGTTGGACTAGCTGCAGCTTCCGGGCAGTCTTCAGAGGCAGCCCCACGTAGAGAGCGTTGCAGTAATCTAAGCGGGATGTAACCAAAGCGTGGACCAATCCAAACAAACCTCCGTTGGCAAAGCCGGTCTCTTACCTTTGCTTCTTCCAGATCTGCTGTTTTGCTCTTCTTCCTGATCAAGGTATTAAAAAAAGTGATGTCAGCTTTCACGTTGTCCTCCTCCATCGCTGCCAATAAGGACGCTTCCGAGGGGCTCCCGGGCTGGACCACTTCGGCCAGCAGCGTGTACGTCTTGATGTTGGGTTCCGCCCCGTCGCTCTTCATTTTCTGTAAGAAGCCCTCCATGTTTCCCATCAAAGCGAGCCTGTCGGAGGCCGTGGCCACAGTTCCCAAGGAAACCACATTTTTATTTATGGTCTGTAAATCTAGTAGGTTGGGAAGATGCAATGCATCCTCTGCATCTGCTTCCGTCATGCTTGGAGACAAACAACTCTTTTCACATAACATCAATTCCTTGGATTTCGTTGCATCTGTTGGATTTGAGGCACGTCTGGCCTCCGCAGCTGTGTTTTCCTCCTCTGCCTTCCTACTCTCTCTTGGGAAGATGGATTTCTCCAGTATTTCTACATCCAACGGTGTACAAAGTCCAGGTTCTGCTGCTGCTTTTCCTCTCTGGCCCTTTCTCTTTTTCCTCCCACCATCCCCCAGCCGTGGAATGGCGGAGCCTTCCCCTGAAGGTCTTAGCAACAGATCAGAAGCCACGCCGGGATCCCCAAGGCCGCACTCCCTGGCCGCGCTCAGCATCAAATTGTAGCTGTAGCTGTCGGGTTTGAGGCTCAGTTTTCTCATCTGCTGCCAGACCTGTTTGGGAAAATAGAGCGGGATTAAAGGAATGCACCCTGAATACTGAGCGATCCGTGTATTTCTGCAACATTGGCCAGAATCCTGTTGGGGAATTATGCCTTTAACAGTGGATATACTGGATACATCTGTTATAGAACTCCAGTATGCTGATGACAATGTCATCTGTGCGCATTCAGAAGAAGACCTACAAGCCACTCTAAACACCTTCGCAGAAGCATACGAGAAGCTCGGCCTGTCACTGAACATCGAGAAAACCAAAGTGCTGTTCCAGCAGTCACCAGCCATCCCCTCCCCAATGCCAGTGATACAACTTAATGGTGTAACATTAGAAAATGTGGACCATTTCCGCTACCTTGGCAGCCACCTCTCCACCAAAGTCAACATCGACGCCGAAATACAACACCGCCTGAGCTCTGCAAGTGCAGCATTTTCCCGAATGAAGCAGAGAGTGTTTGAGGACCGGGACATCCGTAGGGATACCAAGGTGCTTGTTTATAAAGCTATTGTCCTCCCAACCCTGCTCTATGCCTGCGAAACATGGACTGTCTACAGACGTCACATGCCACTCCTGGAACGATTCCATCAGCGCTGCCTCCGGAAAATCCTGCAAATGTCTTGGGAAGACAAGCGGACAAACGTCAGCGTGCAAGAAGAAGCAAAGACCACCAGCATTGAAGCGATGGTCCTCCGCCATCAAGTCCACTGGACCAGCCATGTTGTCCGGATGCCTAGCCACCATCTCTCAAAGCAGTTTATTTATTTATTTACAGTTCTTATATTCCGCCCTTCTCACCCCGCAGGGGACTCAGGGCGGATTACAGTAAACACATATATGGCAAACATTCAATGCCAGTTTGACAAACAACATTTAACAGACAAATGCACCAAGGCTATTTAACTTTTTTCTGGCCGCCAGGGGAGCTGCTGCTTTTCATCGTCCATCAATGACACCGATGAAGTTCTTCCGCATTCCACATTCCCCGGAGTCTTTTTTCTTTATGGCCTCATAAATTAGTTAAATTTAGCTAAATTTAGCCCTCAAGAACGGAAAACTGAATGTTGGTGGACAGGAAAAGAGATTTAAAGATGGGCTCAAAGCCAACCTTAAAAACTCTGGCATAGACACTGAGAACTGGGAAGCCCTGGCCCTTGAGCGCTCCAGCTGGAGGTCAGCTGTGACCAGCAGTGCTGCAGAATTTGAAGACACACAAATGGAGGGTGAAAGAGAGGAAGGCGTGTCAAGCCAACTCCAGGTTCGTCGTCCATTGTTCCATTCCTATGTTCCATTACCATATTGCACTAAATTACTCAAACGCCTGCACAAACATCCAGGTCTTCACCTTTTTGCGGAATACCATTAGAGATGGTGCTAGTCTAATGTCCGTAGGAAGGGCGTTCCACAGCCGAGGAGCCACCACCGAGAAGGCCCTATCTCTCGTCCCCGCCAGCCGAGCTTGAGAAGCAGGCGGGATCGAGAGCAGGGTTTCCCCAGAAGATCTCAAAGTCCTGGTGGGTTCATAGGCAGAGATGCGGTCAGATAGGTAGCTTGGGCCAGAACCGTTTAGGGCTTTAAAGGCCAACGAATAAAGGCCAAGAATAGGGCTCCACAGCCACATACGGACCCACCGACAGAACCTTGGAGGACCATCATCCTCGGACTACGAGGGATCGCTTAACAACTAACAAGTGTGATAAAGTAACTCATCAAAGAAAGCACATGAGTCTTCCGCTTTAAGTAGAAAAGAAATAAAGTTGTATTCACTGCATACAAAACAAATCAGAAGTATTGCTCTCACCAAAAACATAACATAAAACAATATCTTCGGTGAGTCCTCTTCATTCAACGGTAACATGCAGACTTGTAACATAAACAACACACAGTCCCTCTAACTCAGTTGTCCATAGAGTGACCCTGGCTTGCCGTCAACAAACTTTATCTTCAGGACGCTTGCAGAACTGCTCCCGGCACCAAACAAAGGTTGTTCAGCTCAGAACGAGCCCTCAAGCAAAGCATAAAACGCAATGCTTAAATGTACAAACACACAGTGGTTTACTATATACACAAGATAACAATACACTCAATTATCCCATCAATTAACTGTGTCAGCTGCAACAGAACCACCCTGATCCTTTCCAAAACTTAGGAAAAGTACGTTGCAAACCCTTAGTAGCAACATTTTGCTCCTCTTTGCAGCTCACTAACAGGATTACTTAACGTCTCTGCTATACACCAACTGATGTAATGTAGACAACAACAAATAATATCATTAACCATATTGTGAGCCTACTCTCTTTTGGTTCCCAATATGGTGAAGGAGAAGACAGTAAACAGACCTGCAAGGCATACCGGAACCCATTCTCTTTGTCTTTGATGCATCCCATGAGGAGGAAATTGAAAGTATCCGTGGTAATCTGGTGGCCTTTATGGACTATCTCCTGGAAAGGGGGGGGGGGGAGGATAAAAAAAGGGCAATTTCATCATCATTGTCTTACACTGAAAGAATTAACAATAATAAAGTTAGTTTCAAAAAATCTGTGGAAAATTAATTTCTAGAACATTTCTAAACAAGTTGCTATAAGAAGGTCCTCCATTGATTATTAATATTATTGTTATTTTACTGACACAAAAGCACAGTATGTCACAGCAAACGAGATCTCTATGCTGGATTTCGTATCACAAAATCACAAGTCGAACACTTCCCAAGCTTCTAGGATGTGTGATGTATTTTTGAATGATGCGCACCGATCCAAGTCAGGTGGCCTTTTGCAGTTGACAGATCGGGATTTTGTCGATGTTTATTGTTTCCAAATGCCGGCTGAGATCTTTTGGCACAGCACCCAGTGCGCCAATGACCACTGGGACCACCTGTTCTGGTTGATGCCAGAGCCTTTGCAGTTCAATTTTGAGGTCTTGATAGCGGCTGAGTTTCTCCTGTTGTTTTTCCTCAATGCGGCTGTCACCTGGAATGGCGACATCAATAATCCAGATTTTTACCTTTTCCACAATCGTGATGTCTGGTGTGTTGTGTTCCAAAACTTTGCCAGTCTGGATTCGAAAGTCCTACAGTATTTTTGCATGTTCATTTTCCACGACCTTTGCGGGTTTATGATCCCACCAGTTCTTCACTACTGGTAGGTGGTACTTGTGACATAAGTTCCAGTGAATCATCAGAGTTGTGCCTCTGTTTGTAGTCCGTCTATGCGATTTTCTTCCCGCAGCTGAGAATATGATCCATGGTTTCCTCATCTTCCTTGCACAGTCTGCATTTTGGGTCATCCACTGATTTTTCGATCCTGGCCTTAATTGCATTGGTTCTGATGGCTTGCTCCTGGGCTGCAAGAATCAGGCCTTCTTCTGTCTCCTTCTTCTGGGTTCCATTCGTGAGCCATCACCAGGTCTTCTTCTCCTTGTCAACTTTTCCTCCAATCTTCTCAAGGAACTGCCCATGAAAGGCTTTGTTGTGCCAGCTGTCAGTTCTGGTTTGGAGTGCAGTTTTCTTGTACTGACTCTTTGTCTGCTGTGCTTTGACAAGTTTCCGATTATTGACTTCAACTACAGCAGGTTCTTGGCTTTCTGTGACATCTTCTGCCAGGGCATCGTGTTTTTCTTCTTCGACGGCTTGTTTGACTTGTAAAAGCCCTCTGCCTCCAGACTTTCTAGGCAGATGGAGCCGGTCAACATCACTGAGAGGATGTAAAGAATTATGAATGGTCATGAATTTTCATGTTTTTCTGTCCAAATTGTACAGTTCTGTCTGTGTCCAGTTTATGATGCCAGCAGTATATCTTATGACAGGTATGGCCCAGGTGTTTATGGCCTTGGTGGTGTTGCCTCCGTTGAGCTTGCTTTTGAGAATTGTTGTTGTTGTTATTATTTTTTTAAAAGAAATTTTATTAAATTTTATATAGAATACAGCGAAAGAGGGAGAACAATTAGGTAAAGAAAAGTAAAGAAAAAAAAAAGAGAGAGAAAGGCCAGTAAAGTAAGAGGTAAAAAAGATATCCTAAATAAAACCCTAAAAAAAAAAAAGAAAAAATAAACTACAATTGATGTTCCTTTTTCAAAACCTCCCAATAATCAGAAGTCAAACACTTTTTATAAAATGGAAAAAAGAAATACTGAAATTTATATGGGCTGGAGGAAGACCAAGAATAAAGTATGATAATTTGATTGATAAGAAGAATAGAGGAGGTCTGGGCCTCCCGGACTTTAAAGCATATTATTCTTGAGAGACACGGATTATCTGGATTCGGCACAGTCTGGTTTCAGACTGGGACATGGAACTGAGACGGTCTTGGTCGCCTTAGTGGATGATCTGCGCCGGGAGCTAGACAGGGGGAGTGTGTCCCTGTTGGTGCTCCTGGACCTCTCAGCGGCCTTCGATACCGTCGACCACGGTATCCTTCTGGGGCGCCTTGCGGAAATGGGCCTTGGGGGCACTGTTTTGCAGTGGCTCCAGTCATTTCTGGAGGGTCGCACCCAGAAGGTGTTATTGGGGGACACCTGTTCGACACCACAGCCTTTGACCTGTGGGGTTCCACAGGGCTCCATACTGTCCCCCATGCTGTTTAACATCTACATGAAGCCGCTGGGCGAGATCATCCGGAGTTTCGGGGTGCGGTGTCATCTGTACGCAGATGATGTCCAACTCTGTCACTCCTTTCCACCTGCTACTAAGGAGGCTGTCGAGGTCCTGAACCGGTGCCTGGCCGCTGTAACGGTCTGGATGAGGGCGAACAAATGAAATTAAATCCAGACAAGACAGAGGTACTCCTGGTCAGTCGCAAGGCCGAACAGGGTATAGGGTTACAGCCTGTGCTGGATGGGGTACACTCCCCCTGAAGACGCAGGTTCGCAGCTTGGGTGTGATCCTGGATTCATCGCTGAGCCTGGAACCCCAGGTTTTGGCGGTGACCAGGGGAGCATTTGCACAGCTCAGGCTCGTGCGCCAGCTGCGCCCGTATCTTGGGAAGTCTGACTTGGCCACGGTAGTCCACGCTCTGGTACATCCTGTTTAGACTACTGCAACACTCTCTACGTGGGGTTGCCCTTGAAGACGGCCCGGAAGCTTCAATTGGTCTAACGTCGGCAGCCATGATTTTAACAGGAGCGGAGCGCAGGGAGCATACAACCCCCTGTTGCGCCAACTCCACTGGCTACCGATTTGCTACCGGGCTCAATTCAAAGTGCTGGCGTTGGCCTTTAAAGCCCTAAACGGTTCCGGCCCAAGCTACCTATCCTGACCGCATCTCTGCCTATGAACCCACCAGGACTTTGAGATCTTCCGGGGAGACCCTGCTCTCGATCCCGCCTGCTTCTCAAGCTCGGCTGGCGGGGACGAGAGATAGGGCCTTCTCGGTGGTGGCTCCTCGGCTGTGGAACGCCCTTCCTACGGACATTAGACTAGCACCATCTCTAATGGTATTCCGCAAAAAGGTGAAGACCTGGATGTTTGTGCAGGCGTTTGAGTAATTTAGTGCAATCTGGTAATGGAACATAGGAATGGAACAATGGACGTCGAACCTGGACTACGCTTGGATGATGAGAAGATTGGGTACGGTTGTTTTTCGTAATAATTGTGCATTGTAATTGCTTATTGGTAATTTATGGATAATGTGTTAAGTCAATTGTTATACGTTGCATGGAACCACTGCTGTTTCTACTGTTTTTACTGTTTGTGAACCGCTGTGAGTCGCCTTCGGGCTTGAGATACAGCGGTATATAAGCAAAGTAAATAAATAAAGTAAATAAATAAGTCTTATGAGGAATTAAAACAAAAATTTTCTAATATTACTTGGTTACATTATATGCAAATTAAAGAATATTACAATCAAGATAAAAAAATTGGAATTTCCTGGGAGGAAACAGCGTGGGATAAAATTTTAAAATTGGAAAAGAAAGTAATATCAATTATTTATAATATATTACTTACCTGACTGACTGAAAAAGAACAGGTTAAAAACTGTATGATAAAATGGGCTCAAAATTTAAGAAAACCAACTCAAATGAGGGAGTGGGAACAGATGTGGAACAGAAAATTAAAATATACACATGCAACGGACTTAAAAGAAAACTGGATAAAAATGTTCCACAGATGATATACCACACCGAAACAATTGGCTAAAATGTATAAAACAGTTTCTGATAAGTGTTGGAAATGTTCAGAACAAGTGGGTTCCTTCTACCATATGTGGTGGACTTGTAAAGAAGCAGTAAAGTTTTGGAGGGTAATTCATGAAGAGACGCAAAAGATTTTAAAAAGAACTTTTACAAGAAAACCAGAGTATTACTTGTTAGGCTTTACAGATTTGGATTTACAATTGACGGAACAAGAGGACAAACTTTTTACATATGCAACGACCGCCACTAGAATTGTTTTTGCTAGAGAATGGAAGAAAGGCACAGTCCCACCCGTACAGGATTGGGTGGAAAAAATCAGAGAAATAAAGGACATGGACGAACTGACTTTTTTGATGAAGAAAAATACAGGCATGATAATAAAAAGAATGAATTGGGACAATCTTCATGACTATCTGGACAATTTGCGAATATAAAAAACAAGAGAGACAATTTTATTATCTTATCTTTGTTGTTGTTTATTCGTTCAGTTATTTCCGACTCTTCGTGACCTCATGAACCAGCCCACGCCAGAGCTCCCTGTCGGCCGTCACCACCCCAACTCCTTCAGAGTCAAGCCAGTCACCTCAAGGATAGCATCCATCCATCTTGCCCTTGGCCGGCCCTTCTTCCTTTTTCCTTCCATTTTCCCCAGCATCATTGTCTTCTCTAAGCTTTCTTTCCTCTCATGATGTGGCCAAAGTACTTCAACTTTGCCTCTAGTATCCTTCCCTCCAGTGAGCAGTCGGGCTTTATTTCCTGGAGGATGGACTGGTTGGATCTTCTCGCAGTCCAAGGCACTCTCAGAACTTTCCTCCAACACCACAGCTCAAAAGCATCTCTCTTCCTTCGCTCAGCCTTCCCTAAGGTCCAGCTCTCACATCCGTAGGTGACTACAGGGAATACCATGGCTTTGACTAGGCGGATCTTTGTTGCCAGTCTGATGTCTCTACTCTTCACTATTTTATCGAGATTGGACATTGCTCTCCTCCCAAGAAGTAAACTCTTCTGATTTCCTGGCTGCAGCCTGCATCTGCAGTAATCTTTGCACCTAGAAATACAAAGTCTGTCACGGCCTCCACGTTTTCTCTCTCTATTTCCCAGTTGTCAATCATTCTTGTTGCCATAATCTTGGTTTTTTTGACGTTTAGCTGCAACCCGGCTTTTGCGCTTTCTTCTTTCACCTTGATTAGAAGGCTCCTCAGCTCCTCCTCGCTTTCGGCCATCAGAGTGGTGTCATCTGCATATCTGAGGTTGTTAATGTTTCTTCCAGCAATTTTCACCCCAGCTTTGCATTCCTCAATCCCCGCACATCCTCGCATGATGTGTTCTGCATACAAGTTAAAAAGGTTGGGTGAGAGGATGCAGCCTTGCCGTACGCCTTTCCCAATCTTGAACCAGTCTGTTGTTCCGTGGTCAGTTCTGACTGTTGCTACTTGGTCCTTGTACAGATTCCTCAGGAGAGAGGGAAGGGGGCTTGGGATGCCCATCCCACCAAGAACTTGCCACTTGAAGAAAAATACAGGCATGATAATAAAAAGAATGAATTGGGACAATCTTCATGACTATCTGGACAATTTGCGAATATAAAAAAACGAGAGAGACAATTTTTTAAAATTATTATTATTATTATTATTATTATTATTATTATTATTATTCTCCCCATAGGGACTCAAGGTGACTATTATCCATGGTTCTGTGAGTTTCTGTGAAGTCTGGGAATGTATTCCTTAACAGATATCTGTTCACAAAAAAAAATAATAATAATAATTCTGATCTATCAGCAGCAATCTCCTTCCAGATGTGATTACATTCCAGATCCCATCAACCCGACCTCATTTGGAGGGTTCAGTCCACAGCTGAACCCAAGGCAACAAAGCAGAAACTAATTCAAAGAAGACATTTTTTAGAATCCCGAAAGTTTGTCGTTACCTTCAAGATCTCAAAGCACATCTGGAGATCCGAGCAGAGGGCACAGGCTTTCAGGAGGGCATGGTAGGTGATGAGGCTCAGCTCAACGTTCTTGCTCAGCAGTTGCTGCCGTAACTTCAGGGCCGCCTGAAGGCCCGTATCCTTCCAGGGCGACTCCGCACAGGCATTGAACAGGGCCGTGTATGTGGCATCCGAGGGCTGCAAGTCTCGCTTTTTCATCTACCCCCCAGCAAAGCAATAGCAAATGAAAGGCTTAAGGAAAACACTCAAGCAAAGCATTGCATACTTTAACCGTATTGGTTAGGAACATTTTAGAAGATCTGGTTGAAAGGCAGGTGGACCAATAAGGCACACCCCAATCATGCCAGGAGAACTTGCATTCCAGATGCACTCTCCCCCAAAGACTGAGGTCACTCCCATTTGGAGAAGTATTTCAATGTTTGCATTACAATTCATCTGTATAAATAAAAATGTAATGTTCGTTTGTGGGATTAACATAACTCAAAAACCACTGGACGAATTGCCACCAAATTTGGCCACAAGACACCTACTAACCCAAGGAGTGACTATCACTCAAAAAACCGATTTTGTCATTTGGGAGTTGCAGTTGCTGGGATTTACCGGTAGGACTGAAGACCGCAAGGTAGTAGGTTTTAATCTGGGGAGAGCGCAGATGAGCTCCCTCTGTCAGCTCCAGCTCCCCATACCAAGGGGACATGAGAGAAGCCTCCCACAAGGATGGTAAGAACATTAGGGCAACATCCCCTGAACAACGTCCTTACAGACGGCCAAATCTCACAGCAGAAGCGACTTGTAGTGTTTCAAGTCGCTCCTGACACGAAAAAAAAAAAAAAAGCTTTGCACTTATCCCAGTGGTTCTCAACCTGTGGGTTCCCAGATGTTTTGGCCAGATGTAGTTGGTAAACTGGGAGTTGTAGGCCAAAACACCCTATGGGGACCCATAGGTTGAGAACCACTGACATACCCCATTCCCCTGTCTTATTGTTTACAGCTGGGTCACATCTACAGCAGCTTATTGCCATTAGTTGATGAGCCCTATTTTAATTTAGTCTTGTTGTTTTACATGTCTATATGTTTTATTTAAATGTAATTTATATTGTGTTTTATTTTTAGGCACCTGGTGCCGTGTGTAAGCCGCCCTGGGTCCCTTTGTAGAGATGTTGGTGGGATACAAGAAGTTGTTGTTGTTATTATTTTTATTATTATTATTATTATTATAGTGAAATACCTTGTAAAACTACAACTCCCATGATTCCATAGCGGCAGGATACAAGAATTATTATTATAATTATTTTATTTAACTGTATTTTATTTTATGTGCTGTTTTTAGGCATCTGGTGCCATGAGTAAGCTGCCCTGAGTCCCTTTGTAGAGATGGTGGCAGGATACAAGTTGTTGTTGTTGTTGTTGTTGTTATTATGGTGAAATACCTTGTAAAACTACAACTCCCACATTTCATAGCACTCAGCAGCTAAAGTGGTATCAAACTGCAACAATTCTACAGTGTACATGAACTCATAGTGAGCTCTTTGCAAACTTAGTGACATTAGTACACTCTGCACAACAGCAGATCGCTCCTCAATGAAAAAAGAAATCTGGCCTTGAGTATTTACATCGTTGTAGAGCTTGAAGGCCTTCTTCAGGTATCCCACCCTGCCGCAGCCACCAATCAGCACGGTGTAGTTGCTCTCTTCTGGGAAGACACGCTCTTCCTTCAGCATCTGTGTCTCAAACAGATCCAGGGCTTCTTTCAACTACAGAGAAGAGGGAACGAAAGTGAGAAGGTGTCAGAAGTATCTACTAAGGCTTTAATGGCCACGTACAAATACATCCTTCAGGAGTTTAGGGCTTCGGTTCCCCAAATACTTGAGTTTTGTAGTTTTGTATTAAAAACTATTATTATTATTAGTATTGTTGAAGGTTTTCATGGCTAGAATCACTGGGTTGTTGTAGGTTTTTTCGGGCTACATGGCCATGTTCTAGAGGCATTCTCTCCTGACGTTTCGCCTGCATCTATGGCAAGCATCCTCAGAGGTAGTGAGGTCTGTTGGAACTAGGAAAAGGGGTTTATATATCTGTGGAATGACCAGGGTGAGACAAAGGACTCTTGTCTGCTGGAGCTAGCAAACTAATCACCTCTCAACAAAAGTTTGCTCTAGGCAGTGTCAGGCCATTATAATCAAGGAGATCAGTTGAAACATTCACGCCTACCTCCAGCAGACAAGAGTCCTTTGTCTCGCCCTGGTCATTTTTAGATATATAAACCCACTTTCCTAGTTCCAACAGATCTCACTACCTTTGAGAATGCTTGCCATAGATGCAGGCGAAACGTCAGGAGAAATGCCTCTAGCACATGGCCATATAGCCCGAAAAAACCTACAACAAACCTGGATCTAGACCAGGGATCCACAAACTTTTTAAACAGAGGGCCAGTTCACAATCCCTCAAACTATTGGAGGGCCGGATTATAATTTGAAAAAAAAAAAACATGAATGAATTTCTATGCACACTGCACATATCTTATAAATAATACAATAATAAAAATGAAGAACGACATTAACAAATATAAACTTATTAGTATTTCAATGGGAAGTGTGGGCCTGCTTTTGGCTGATGAGATAGGATTGTTGTTGTTATTGTTGTGTACTTTCAAGTCATTTCAAACTTAGGTTGAGCGAGGGCCGGGTAAATTACCTTGGAGGGCCGTATCTGGCCCCCGGGCCTTAGTTTGAGGACCCCTGGTCTAGAGGCATTCTCTCCTGACGTTTCGCCTGCATCTATGGCAAGCATCCTCAGAGGTTGTGAGGTCTGTTGGAACTAACAAAATGGGTTTATATATCTGTGGAATGACCAGGGCGGGAGAAAGAACTCTTGTCTGTTGGAGGAAGGTGTGAATGTTTCAACTGACCACCTTGATCAGCATTTGATGGCCTGACAGTAGTTTGGTGTGGCTTGTTGGTGCCTGGGGCAATCTTTTGTTGATAGGTGATTAGATGTCCCTGATTGTTTCCTCTCTGTTGTTTTGCTGTTCTAATTTTAGAGTTTTTTTAAATACTGGTAGCCAGATTTTGTTCATTTTCATGGTCTCTTCCTTTCTGTTGAAATTGTCCACATGCTTGTGGATTTCAATGGCTTCTCTGTGTATGTAGCCTGACCTGGTGGTTGTTGGAGTGGTCCAGCATTTCTGTGCTCTCAAATAATATGTTGTGTCCAGGTTGGTTCATCAGGTGCTCTGCTATGGCTGACTTCTCTGGTTGGAGTAGTTTGCCGTGCCTTTCATGTTCCTTGATTCGTGTTTCACCTGATGAACCAACCTTGACACAGCATATTAAAGGTGATGATGATTGTATGAGTACCTACAGGAAGTGATGTTATAAATATATCATTTCTGAATACAGCATTTTTAAATCTAGCCTACTATTATTGTCCTATTTATCAGCCCGTTTCCTCCCGTCATTTTGCAAACAAGTGAAAACTTGGCTTTGGGAGCAAACATTTGGCTCTGCATAATTATCTATGCAATTGGAATTGACCCCGGATTGATGAATATGGTTATTTGATTATCTGGCTTTGGATCTATGCACAACAGTCGTCTAATGTTTACATATGTTGTTTAATGTTGTTTTAAATTATTGTTTAATTGCCTTTGTTGTTGTTGTTTGAGCATGGAACAATACCACTTATGTAAGCCACCCTGAGTCCCCTTCAAGGTGAAAAGGGCAGGCTATACTGTATATACTCAAATATAAGCTCAGTTTTTCAGCCCTTTATTTAGGCTGAAAAATTCCCACTCGGCTTATACTCGAGCTAAGATTTTTTTTAATTATTTCACTCTGCTATTATTATTGTTTTTATTACATTTGTTATTTTACTCTATTTATTGTTATTATTACACGCATCATGTTACTCTGTTATTATTATTGCATTTATTATTATTATTATTATTATTATTGCATTTGGGCCAAAACTAACAAAATGAAGTTCAGCAGGGACAAATGCAAGATACTCCACTTAGGCAGAAAAAACGAAATGCAAAGAGACAGAATGGGGGACGATGAGGCCTGGCTCGAGAGCAGTACGTGTGAAAAGATCTTGGAGTCCTCGTGGACAGGAAGTTAAACATGAGCCAGGAATGTGATGTGGCGGCAAAAAAAGCCAATGGGATTTTGGCCTGCATCAAGAGGAGCATAGTGTCTGGATCTAGGGAAGTCCTGCTCCCCATGCTCTATTCTGCTTTGGTTAGACCACACCTGGAATATTGTGTCCAATTCTGGGCACCACAATTCAAGAGATATTGACTCTAAGCTGGAATGTGTCCAGAGGAGGGCAACTAAAATGATCATGGGTCTGGAGAACAAGCCCTATGAGGAGCAGCTTAAGGAGCTGGGCATGTTTAGCCTGAAGAAGAGAAGGCTGAGAGGAGACAATATGATAGCCATGTATAAATATGTGAGAGGAAGCCACAGGGAGGAGGGAGCAAGCTTGTTTTCTGCTTCCTTGGAGACTAGGACGCAATGGAACAATGGCTTCAAACTACAAGAGAGGAGATTCCATCTGAACATGAGAAAGAACTTCCTGACTGTGAGAGCTGTTCAGCAGTGGAACTCTCTGTCCCGGAGTGTGGTGGAGGCTCCTTCTTTGGAAGCTTTTAAACAGGGGCTGGATGGCCATCTGTCAGGGGTGATTTGAATGCAATATTCCTGCTTCTTGCAGAATGGGGTTGGACTGGATGGCCCAGGAGGTCTCTTCCAACTCTAGGATTCTATGATTATTTTACATTATTATTATTATTGTTATTGTTATTATCTTTATTTGTACCCCGCTAGCATCTCCCGAAGGACTCGATGCGGCTTACAAAGGCCAAGGCCTCAATAAAACAACAATATAACAGATACACATAAACCATAAAACAAATCAAAACATGAAAGCAGTAACAGTAAAAACAGTACACATTGCACAATACAACTAAGGCCGGGCCAAGTATTACGGGTACAGATTAAAAAGTGCTGAGTGTGCTAAATGAAATATAAGGATGTTTGGGTAAGTGCAGTGTGCAGACAATCTTAAAATCTCTAATAAAGTGCTTCTGGGATGTGTTGCTGGAGTTGCTTTAGTATTGTTATTATTTTACTCTACTATTTTTGGAGGGATACATAAGCAAAATTTGGTAAAATTTGGTGTCTCGGCTTATATTCAGGTTGGCTTATACTCGAGTATATCTGGAGATAATCTGGAGAGGCTCTGCTCTCGGTCCCGCCTGCCTTACAGGTACATCTGGCGGGGACGAGAGACAGGGCCTTCTCAGTGGTGGCCCCTCGGCTGTGGAACGCCCTTCCTACAGAAATTAGAGCGGCACCCTCCCTATAGGCATTTCGGAGGAAAGTGAAGACCTGGTTGTTCGAGCAGGCCTTTGAATAGGCAATGTAATGAATATAGGAATACGGAACAACAAATGATGAGATTGGATCTTGATTTTACTTGAGACGCTAATGAGATGTTATATTGATGTTTAACAGTTTATTATATTATTATTTGATTAGTTTTTTAACTGTTTTTTATGATATCAAGCATTGAATTTTTGCTATTGTTAACCGCTTTGAGTTGCCCGAGGGCTGAGAAAAGCGGTATATAAATGAAGTAAATAAACAAATAAGGTAAATATCGTAAATAAACAACAACAATCATCATCCATACTAGGGACAACTTTCCCAAGCTGCTGGCATGCATTTTTTCCCCTCCCACCTGATCCTTGTAATTAAATATACTTGTAAGGAAATGACCTTATTGTTCTTTATCAGAGCCTTGCATTGCAAGAAATACCAATATGGAGTATTCTTGGGACCGTGGCGGGGTTTCGGTTGCGGCTCATCCTCTTCCTTTCCCTGCATTTGGAGCTGTAAGTTGTAGAATTCTGGTGTTGCTTTTCGGAAAAACCGTCTATTCGAGAATTTTTGGGACAGTGTTCCAAAGCCGCCTTCATCATCATCATCACCACCATCATCATCATCAGGCTCCTGTTTCAGAATGGCTTCAGAGGAGTTGGCAGGTAGTTCCTTTCCTAAGTCTCTGTTATGTAATTTGCAAAGTGTTGGAGAGGAGCTGAAAGTTCTTAATCCCAGAAACCTGAGTAGTAAGCAGTTCTTTGAAATGGAAGAGAATCTGGAATGAGTAGATACCCAAGGACCGAAAACTTCTAGGAAGTGACGGGATACCAGCTGCACAGCCATCATGACGTTGCCTTTCTTCCCTTTGTCCTTCGATCACACAGCCATTGCCTGAAATCCAAAATGTTATGTTAGAATGTTGTTGTTCATTCGTTCAGTCATCTCCGACTCTTCGTGACCTCATGGACCAGCCCACACCAGAGCTCCCTGTCGGCCGTCACCACCCCCAGCTCCTTCAAGGTCAGTCCAGTCACTTCAAGGATGCCATCCATCCATCATGCCCTTGGTTGGCCCTCTTGTTATGTTATGTTAGAATAGTAATAATAATAATAGATGTATTACCAAATTCTCCCTTTTGGGAGGGTAAAATAGGGTTAGAGATAAAACACAATACTATTAAAATAATGCATAACAAGATACACACAGTTAAAACATTGGCTAAAATGGGTTGTTGTGGGTTTTTCTCGGGCTATATGGCCATGTTCTAGAGGCATTCTCTCCTGACGTTTCGCCTCCATCTATGGCAAGCATCCTCAGAGGTTGTGAGGTCTGTTGGAAGTAGGAAAAGGGGTTTATATATCTGTGGAATGACCAGGGTGGGACAAAGGACTTTTGTCTGCTGGAGCTAGGTGTGAATGTTTCAACTGACCACCTTGATTAGCATTTGATAGCCTGGAAGTGCCTGGAGCAATCTTTTGTTGAGAGGTGATTAGATGTCCTATCTCTGCGGACATAGAACAACAGAGTTGGAAGAGACCTCCTGGGCCATCCGTCCAACCCCATTCTGCCAAGAAGCAGGAATATTAGCTCCATAGGTCCCAGGAAGCAGAAACAAGCTTGTCCTCCTTCCTTCGGGGTTCCTATCACAAATGCTACATTCAGCAAAGGACAATAGGGATCACCTCTGAGGAGTCCACCGTATACCATGCAGCTGTGGACAAGTCTACATAGGGACCACCAAATGCAGCGCCCAACACGAATCAAGGAACATGAAAGGCACTGCAGACTACTCCAACCAGAGAAGTCAGCCATAGCAGAGCACCTGATGAACCAGCCTGGACACAGCAGATTATCTGAAAACACAGAAATGGTGGACCACTCTCACAACCACCATGTCAGACGACACAGAGAAGCCATTGAAATCCACAAGCATGTGGACAATTTCAACAGAAAGGAAGAGACCATGAAAATGAACAAAATCTGGCTACCAGTATTAAAAAACTCTAAAATTACAACAGCAAAACAGCAGAGAGGAAACAACCAGGCACATCTTAACACCTCTCAACAAAAGATTTCCCAGGCTCAGCCAGGCCTTCTAATGCTAATCAAGGTGGTCAGTTGAAACATTCACACCCAGCTCCAGCAGACAAGAGTCCTTTGTCCCACCCTGGTCATTCCACAGAGATATAAACCCATTTTCCTAGTTCCAACAGACCTCACTACCTCTGAGGATGCTTGCCATAGATGGAGGCGAAACGTCAGGAGAGAATGCCTCTAGAACATGGCCACGTAGCCCGAAAAAACCCACAAGAACCTAGAGAGAGAGTAAACAAGCTTCCCAAGGGGCCTTACATGAGGACCACTTCAGTCCCTTCAGCCAATCCAAAGCGTGGCCTTCGCTCTTCGAAACGGCGCCCGAAAATGACGCATGCCTTCCTGTCAAGGGGGTGGGGCCTCCTTTCATTGGCTGAGGGAGAAATCGCTTCGTCCTATTGGTTGAAAATAAAAATTGAGCAGAGTGGTTTGTATCGCCTCATCCCATTGGCTGAAAGGGAAGGAAATTGAGCCGAGGGTTTTGTATCGCTTCGTCCCATTGGCCGAAAATAAAAACAGGGCGGTTTGGTTTGTATCGCCTTGTCTCATTAATTGGAAATAAGAATTGAACCGAGGGCGTTGAATCGCTTCATATTATTGGTCTAAAATAAAAACTGGGCAATGTGGTTTGTATCGCCTTGTCTCATTGGTGGGAACATGGTCATCCATTCTATATTATGACCAAAAAAAACCCCCCAAAAGCACCATGAGCCCATGAGAATTGTGGGAAAAATAGACCCCTGTCTGATCCCACAGCAAGCTGGCTTCAGGAAAGGCAAAAGCTGCACATCGCAAGTACTGAACCTGACTCAGCACATAGAAGATGGCTTTGAAAGGCAGCAGATCACAGGAGCTGTCTTCATAGACTTGTCAGCAGCCTATGAGACTGTGAACCACCACCTCCTCCTGAGAAAAATGTATAGTATCACAAAGGACGACCACCTCACCCGCCTCATAGGAAACCTGCTACAAAACAGGAGCTTTTTTGTTGAGTTCCAGGGCCAGAGAAGCAGATGGCGGAAACAGAAGAACGGCCTGCCTCAGGGGAGCGTGCTCGCTCCATCCATGTTCAACATCTACACAAATGAGCAGCCACTGCCAGAAGGGACAGAGAGCTTCATCTATGCTGATGATCGTGCCATCACCACTCAAGCAGGGAGCTTTGAGATGGTAGAACAGAAGCTCTCCAAAGCTCTAGGTGCTCTAACTGCCAATTTCAGGGAAAACCAGCTGATCCCCAACCCATCTAAAACACAGACATGCGCCTTTCATCTCAAGAACAGACAAGCATCCTGAGCTCTGAGGATTATTACCTGGGAAGGAATCCCACTGGAGCATTGCAGCGCACCCAAGTACCTGGGAGTCACTCTGGACCGTGCTCTGACCTACAAGAAGCACTGCCTGAACATCAAGCAAAAGGTGGGTGCTAGAAACAACATAATACGAAAGCTGACTGGCACAACCTGGGGATCACAACCAGACACAGTGAAGACATCTGCCCTTGTGCTATGCTACTCTGCTGCTGAGTATGCATGCCCGGTGTGGAACACATCTCACCACGCTAAAACAGTGAGACATGCCGCATTATCATGGGGTGTCTGCGCCCTACACCACTGGAGAAATTACACTGCTTAGCCGGTATTGCACCACCTGACATCCGCTGGGAAGTAGCAGCCAATAGTGAAAGGACCAAGGCAGAGACATCTCCAGCTCATCCCCTGTTTGGGTATCAGCCAGCACGTCAACAACTTAAACCAAGACATCGTTTTCTAAGATCTACAGACACTCGCTGGAACACCTCAGCAAGCGAGAGTCCAAAAGTGGCAGGCTCAAACCCAGCGCCTCAATTCATGGGTGATACCAGATGAGAGACTCCCCCCTGGGCACACAGAAGACGGGGAGACTTGGAAGGCGCTGAACAGACTGTGCTCTGGCACCACGAGATGCAGAGCCAACCTCAAGAAATGGGGCTACAGGGTGGAATCCACGACATGCGAGTGCGGAGAAGAGCAAACCACTGACCACCTGCTGCAATGCACCCTGAGCCCTGCCACATGCACAATGGAGGACCTCCTTGCGGCAACACCAGAGGCACTCCAAGGGGCCAGAGACTGGTCAAAGGACATTTAATTAACTACCAAGCTTGCAAAATCTGTGTGTTTTTTTTTCTTTTTAATCCGTGTGTTTGTTTTGCTCTGTTACAATTGTAACACAATGGTTGCTGATGACACGATAAATAAATAAAATTGGCAGAAGAAGAAAATTGAGACGAGAGTTTTGTATCGCCACGTCTCATTGGCTGAAGGAGAGGAATATCGAGACGTGGGTTTTGTATCGCTTCATCTCATTGGCCGAAGGAGAAAAAATAAAGTCGAGTGGTTTGTATCGCTTCGTCTCATTGGCTGAAAGGGAAGAAATTTGACACGAGGGTTTTGTATCGTTTCCTCTCATTGGCTGAAGGAGAAAAAAATAAAGTCGAGTGGTTTGTATCGCCTCCAGTCATTGGCTGAAGGAGAAGAAAATTGACACGAGGGGTTTGTATCGCTTCGTCTCATTGGCTGAAGGAGAAAAAATAAAGTCGAGTGGTTTGTATGGTTTCGTCTCATTGGCTGAAGCGCAAAGCCAAGCACTCCCGGCATCCTCCGGGCGGGCGATGCGCGCGCAGCTCCGCGGCCTGTTTCTCTTTCTGAGGGAAGCGCCGGAGTGGAGTTGTCGGCCTTTCCTTGTCTCTTCGGCTGGCCGCCCGGTCTCCCCCTCACCATGCAGGAACTCATCGCCAACGTGGAGCACATCAAGTTCGAGCTGGAGATCGCGGTGGAGCAGCAGCTGGGCGCCCAGCCCCTCCCCTTCCCCGGGATGGACAGTACGCCAGGGCCGGGCTCCGAGGGAGGCGGGTAGGCCTCATCGGGAAGGAAGCTGGCCTTCTCCCCCATCGGGGAAAGGAAGCTCATTATGCCATTCCCTAATTAGCAATTATTAGCAATTCTGCAGCACTGCTGGTCACAGCTGACCTCCAGTCAGAGCACTTAAGGGCCAGGGCTTCCCAGTTTTCTCAGAAATTTCATTTCCCAGAAATGAAGCTTAGGATGCCATTCCTCTTTTTGTAATAGGACACAAAGGTAAACCAGTTCTGGTTACTATCTGGGCCAGCTTGACCGGCTGTTAGGAATTGTGGGAGTTGCAATCCAAAACACCTGGAAGGAGAAAGGGCCCAAGTTGGCCCAGGCCTGCTTTTGAGCCCTTCTCAACTTATGGCAACTTTGATCCTGGGCTTTCTTCGTAAGGTTTGCTCCAAGCAGGGGCATTTGGCCTCCTTCTTTATTAATGACTTAGACCAGGGGTCTTCAAACTAAGGCCCGAGGGCCGGATACCGCCCTCCAAGGTCATTTGCCTGGCCCTCACTCAGAGTCAACCTAAGTCTGAAACGACTTGAAAGCACACAACAACAACAGTCCTATCTCATCGGCCAAAAGCAGGCCCATTCTTCCCATTGAAATGCTAATAAGTTTATATTTGATAAAATTGTTCTTCATTTTAATTATGAAGCTGGAGCTCCCGGTGGCACAGTGAGTTAAAGCACTGAGCTTCTGAGCTTGTTGACCAAAATGTCGCATGTTAGAATCCAGGGAGCGGTGTGAGCTTCTGCTGTCAGCCCCAGCTTCTGCCAACCTAGCAGTTCGAAATCACGGAAATGTATGTAGATCAATAGGTACCGCTCCAGTAGGAAGGTAAGGGTGCTCCAAGCAGTCATGCCAGCCACATGACCTTGGAGGTTTCAATGGACAATGGCTGCTCTTCGTCTTAGAAACGGCGATGAGCACCACACCCCAGAGTTGAACATGACTAGACTTAATGTTAGGGGGAAAACCTTTACCTTACTTTACTATTGTTTTTAAAGTGTTTTTTGCACTACAAATGAGATATGTGCAGTATACTTAGGAATTCATTCATGTTTTTTTCAAATTATAATCCGGCCCTCCAACAGTTTGAGTGACTGTGACCTGGCCCTCTGTTTAAAAAGTTTGAGGACCCCTGACTTAGACGAAGGGCTAGAAGGCATGATCATCAAGTTTGCAGACGACACCAAATTGGGAGGGAGAGCCAAGACTCCAGAGGACAGGAGCAGGATTCAAAACGATCTTGACAGAGTAGAGAGATGAAGGGCCAAAATTAACAAAATGAAGTTCAACAGTGACAAATGCAAGATACTCCACTTTGGCAGGAAAAACAATATGCAAAGAGACAGAATGGGGGACAATGATGCCTGGCTCAAGAGCAGTACGTGTGGAAAAGATCTTGGAGTCCTCGTGGACAACAAGTTAACATGAGCCAACAATGTGATGTGGCAGCAAAAAAAGCCAATGGGATTTTCGCCTGCATCAAGAGGAGCATAGTGTCTAGGTCCAGGGAAGTCATGCTCCACATGCTCTATTCTGCTTTGGTTAGACCACCCCTGGAATATTGTGTCCAATTCTGGGCACCACAATTCAAGAGAGATATTGACCCTAAGCTGGAATGTGTCCAGAGGAGGGCGACTAAAATGATCAAGGGTCTGGAGAACAAGCCCTATGAGGAGCGGCTTAAGGAGCTGGGCATGTTTAGCCTGAATAAGAGAAGGATGAGAGGAGATATGATAGCCATGTATAAATATGTGACAGGAAGTCCGGTTCCGGCTCAGCCTACCTATCCGAACGCATCCCTTCCTACAAACCCTCCAGAAAGTTAAGATCATCTGAGGAGGCCCTGCTCTCGATCCCGTCTGCTTCGCAAGCACACTTGGCAGGGACGAGGGACAGGGCCTTCCCTGTGGTGGCCCCCCAGCTGTGGAACTCCCTGCCTAGGGATATTAGATCAGCCCCCTCCCTTCTGACTTTCTGACTTTTCGGAAGAGAGTGAAAACCTAGCTCTTCGCGCAAGCATTCGGAACCCCGGAATAGATAGTCAAGCTTGAGATGGAGAATGACCCAGGAACATTCTGAATCTGCTCAGCAACAACTCTCAAATGTTAAGGTCTGTTTTCCCCAAACTCCACCAGTGTTCACATTTGGGCATATTGAGTATCCATGCCAAGTTTGGTCCAGATCCATCATTGTTTGAGTCCACAGTGCTCTCTGGATGTAGGTGAACTACAACTCCCAAACTCAAGGTCAATGCCCACCAAACCCTTCCAGCATTTTCTGTGAGTCATCGGAGTTCTGTGTGCCAAGTTTGGTTCAATTCCATCATTGGTGGAGTTCAGAATGCTGTTTGATTGTAGGTGAACTATAAATACCAGCAGTTGTTGTTGTTGTTGTTGTTGTTGTTCATTCGTTCAGTCGTCTCCGACTCTTCGTGACCTCATGGACCAGCCCATGCCAGAGCTCCCTTTCGGCCGTCACCACCCCCAGCTCCTTCAAGGTCGGTCCAGTCACTTCAAGGATGCCATCCAGCAACTACAACTCCCAAATGACAAAATCAATCCCCACAAACCTCTTCAGTATTCCAATTTGGGCGTATGGGGTATTTGTGCCAAATTTGGTCCAGTGGATGAAAATACATCCTGCATATCAGATATTTACATGATGATTCATAATAATAGGAAAATGACAGTTATGAAGTGGCAACAAAAATAATGTGATGGTTGGGGGTCACCACAACATGAGGAAACGTATTAAGGCGTCACGGCATTAGGAAGGTTGAGAACCACTGGTATAATGAGATTTGAAAATGATAAAGTTGTGGGATATTGGGGGTTTCATCCTGCATCTCTTTCTCCACAGAATCAGGAGCTGCTGTCTGCGATTTTTTCTTAAAGTCAGCCTGTGGGAAAGGTAAGCCACAACTATAGATAAACTATGCAAGAAGAGAAAAGGGGAAGCAGAATCAACCTTCTGATTGTGTACGTTTACTTAATTTATTGTTAATAAGTAATATTTTATTCTTGTTGAGTCATTGTGTGTGGGGCTTTGAAATGGAATATAAGGGGAGCTGAGAAGCCTAATTAGAGGACCTTACAAATGGAATCTCAGTGAAGGTTACTGGGGTACATAAGCACTTTAGTACAGTTTCAGACTGGTATTTGCTGTGCAGACGATTATTTAAGAAATCCTGGGACAAGTTTGAGACCTGGATGGTGATGACACAAACCAGTGAGCACTAACCATTTAAGGACTTTCTTTTGCATGCTTTTGTGGGTATTTGCGGTCTGGCTGCAGCAGTTTGAAGCTATCTTTGAACTGCATTAAATGGCTAGTGCAGATTGGGCCTGAGAGTTTGTAATTGTATTGATCATTCAGTTTGTAGCAGTCTCTGCAATCCTTAATATGAAAAGGAGGTCACATGTATTGGGTGGAAGGAGAACTTAACACCTGCAGCTTTCTGAACCCGGGCAACCTTTTGATCTTTATAGGCCAACGAAATAAGGTACAAAAATAAAACTCCATGAGTTGCCATGATTTCTGAGCTGGTGCTATGATTTTGAGGAGTGGAGACATACCTTTTTGTTTGTGGGCATCTTGGCATTCTGACAGTATGATGTCATTGGGTTGTTGTAGGTTTTTCGGGCTTTATGGCCATGTTCTAGAAGCATTCTCTCCTGATGTTTCGCCTGCATCTATGGCAAGCATCTCCAGAGATTGTGAGACCTGGCCTGGTGCGAAGCCTGCCCTGCGCCCTCGCCAGATGGCAAGAGAGCTAGGCAGGCTTCAGGCCAGGCCTCACGTGGAGGCCCCTTCGCCTGCCCCGCGCCCTCACCGGATGGCGGGAGGGTGAGGTAGGCTTCAGGCTAGGCCTCGCGCGGAAGCCCCTTCGCCTGCCCCGCGCCCTCACCGGATGGCGGGAGGGTGAGGTAGGCTTCAGGCTAGGCCTTGCGCGGAAGCCCCTTCGCCTGCCCCACGCCCTCACCGGATGGCGAGAGAGTGAGGCAGGCTTCAGGCCAGGCCCCTTCGCCTGCCTCACGCCCTCGCTGGATGGCGAGAGAGCAAGGTAGGCTTTGCGCGAGGCCAGGCCTTGCGCGAAGGAGCCCTCGCCTGGCCCGCACCCTTGGGGTGGGGCCAATGGAGGTGGCCTCGTGACCCCTCCAAAATGACCAGGCGACCCCCAGGTTGAGAACTGCTGATCTACAACAACCCAGTGATTCCAGCCATGAAAGCATTGACATTACTTCTCATCTTAAAAGAACCTGCAAGAAAAAAGGTTATGTCATGAACTATAAGAAAATATGCAGCTTATATTTATCTTTAAGGTATAACCCAATTCTAGCATGAACATTACATAGTGATCCCTCCCCTTGGTTCATACAAGGCCTATTCTTTTCAAAGTAGCTGAAGGAACACTAAAGCTGTTCCCTCTCTCACCTTAGGAGGGATGTGTCCATTCCGGCACATCAGTGGGGAGAAGACCGTTGTCTGCAAACACTGGCTACGAGGGCTGTGCAAAAAGGGAGACCAATGTGAATTTCTGCATGAATATGACATGACCAAGATGCCTGAGTGTTACTTCTACTCAAAATATGGTAAGAATGGCATTGCTTCGGACTGTGCCTCACTCTTGCTGGGTACGCTTAATTTATAAATAACAGTTTCTGTTAAAGCATTCAAAGTTCTCTATTCGGAAAGTCTCTATAATCTATTCTAGACAATAGTTCTATAAATAATGTTGATATTGTAATCCTATGTTGCAGAGGCATGCCTGAAGCAGTTCCTGAGTTTTGAATCAATCATGTACTGGCTTTCTGCTTGGAATAGCTGAGATCTTGAATATTGTGTATGCTTTTTCCTCCTAGTTCTTAACGTATGTTGTTCAGGCTCATAATTAGAGTATTAGGTGGACAAAATAAGAGAAAACATGGAAGTTAATGTAGACAGTAATCTAAGATGCAGATAGAGATGGTTATGGAATGAAACTTGTTTACTGAGAATGGTATGTTCCCCGTGTGAGTCCTCGTACAATTGGGAGATCCTCTCCTGAGGTTTCTATAAGGCAAGAAACAACATGTCTGTATTCATTTTGAATCCTGACTAAATATGACTTTGCATAGTGGACTTTGATCATTTGTCCTCTTACCATTAGAGTTTTGTGAAATGTGCCATTCCAAGTTAAATTGTCTATACAAAGCGGCATTGAATGTTTGCCGTGTATGTGGACTGTGATCCACCCTGAGTCCCCATTCGGGGTGAGAAGAGTGGAATATAAATAAAGTGTTATTGTTATTATTATTACTTGAAACACAACATGATGAGTCCACAGCAGACACTCTGCTGGCTGTTGAATTGGATCACACGTCGGACCCTTCCCTAGTGTCTAGGACTGTGTGATGTGTGCAGATCCCAGTAAGGTGGCCTTCTGGAGCTGGCAGATGGTAATTTTGTCAGCGCCGATTGTGTTTAAGTGCAGGCCAAGGTCTTTAGGCACTGCACCCAGTGTACCAATCACCACTGGGACCACCTTTACTGGCTTGTGCCAGAGTCTTTGCAGTTCGATCTCTAAATCCTCATATCGTGTCAGCTTTTCCAGTTGTTTCTCTGCAATCCTGCTGTCACCTGGGATTGCGACATCAACGATCCGTACTTTGTTTTTTAACACAATTGTGAGGCCAGGAGTATTATGCTGTCTGAATTCGGAAGTCCCAGAGTAGCTTGCCGTGTTCATTTTCTGTAACTTTTTCCAGCTTGTGATCCCACCAGTTCTTTGTCACAGGCAGATGGTATTTGTGGCACAAGTTCCAATGAATCACCTGAGCAGCAGTGTTGTGCCTCTGCTTAGAGTCTGTCTGCGCAATCTTCTTGCAGCAGCTTAGGATGGGATCTATTGTTTCATCTGCTTCCTTGCAGAGTCTACATTTGGGATTATTATTATTATTATTATTATTATATGAAGGCCAGTTTAGGTTTCTATCTAGACAATTTCTTAACATAATAGATCTGAGAGTGTTTTAAGTTTCCAAGACAAGTAAACTGTTTTGCTCCTCTAAGTGGAAAGGGATGGAAAGCAATGGTTATTTGGATGGTAAATTATGTGTAATTCTATACCATTTTGCGGGGCCGTTCCTGATGCACAACGTGTGCTTGTCTACTGCAGGGGAATGCAGCAACAAGGAGTGCCCGTTCTTGCACATTGATCCAGAGTCTAAGATCAAAGATTGTCCTTGGTATGATCGAGGATTTTGTAAACATGGTATGTATATGGAATATTACTGTTGGTTCTGATGCACTGTGTGATTTCTTTAAAACAGGCATGGGCAAACTTTGGGTCTCCAGGTGTTTTGAACTCCAACTCCCACAATTCCTAACAACCAGTAGGCTGTTAGGAATTGTGGGAGTTGGAGTCCAAAACACCTGGAGGGCCAAAGTTTGCCCAGGCCTACTTTAAAGTGTCTTCATTCTTTACATTTCTTGCAATTGTGTATGGTGACCATACCGTTGTATCTTGCAGGTCCGCTCTGCAGACACAGACACACACGACGTGTGATTTGTGTCAATTATCTGGTGGGCTTCTGTCCAGAGGGCCCTGCCTGCAAATTCATGCAGTGAGTACACTTCAGGATTATCTCCTCACTAAACATAAACTCTATCTATCTATCTATCTATCTATCTATCTATCTAACACCACACGTTGGCTTATATGTGTTGTTATGAAAGTTCCTCCTATGTTGTAGTGAATTCCCTACCTTTTAAGCTTGGAAAAGCTAGAAAAGTAGGCCCAGGAAGTTCAGCAGCCATTTTGGAAAAGGTCCCGGGGGCATCCATTTTAAATCTCATTTCCTGAAGGGGGCATGTTTAAGTACTTGGAGGGAAATGAGAGGAGTTAGTTATTGGCTGGGAGAAAGAAGATAAAAGAAAAAAATGGACTTTTAAGGGGACATTTTAAAAACCTGTCAGCTCAGAATGAATCTGGATATCAAAGGAGAAGGAGTTCGGAGTTGGGAGTGGAGAAGAAATTAGTGAGAGAGCCTAAAGTGGTCAATTAGCTAGAAGAGATAGCTAGTGGGAAGATTACAGCTCTTAGGGAAGATAGCTGGGGAGTGGAGAGACAGATCCCAGAAGAGAAGGACTGTCTGTGTGGAGTTTGGGGTTACTTTCAGGGAAACAATCCTGTCAGTAATCTCTGGAGGGAGAAAGGAGTGTAACTTGCAACTAAGTTTTTGAACTGAAAAGATTATTTCTTTAAAATATATGCTACCACCATTAAACCTTTGACTTCTTCAGTAATTTGCTTTTAAAACTTCCTATACAGAGGCACACGTGAGGCAGATGTTGTGAACAATAAAATAATGATGTTTATTTAAGAGATCTTGAACAAAATAGGCATTAAAGCTTAGTTGGTTTGAAGTATTGACTTAAAGAAACCACACGCTTTTAAGTCAATACTTCAAACCAACTAAGCTTTAATGCCTATTTTGTTCAAGATCTCTTAAATAAACATCATTATTTTATTGTTCACAACATCTGCCTAACGTGTGCCTCTGTATAGGAAGTTTTAAAAGCAAATTACTGAAGAAGTCAAAGGTTTAATGAAGGCAGCATATATTTTAAAGAAATAATCTTTTCAGTGTTACCTCAGTGCACAGGCCTGAGTGCGAATCCAGCACATTCTAGCCAGAAGACACATGAAATAAGCCAAGGGCTTACCATTGCTTTCAAAAGGTTTTTCGGCCAGAAGAAAGTTCCAGGCTTATTACAGCTTTTTGCTTTTGGGTTTTAATTAAAGGAAGCCACATTCCCATTATAACTGGTGTTCAGCATTTGGGGATTTATACCCCAATTAAAGCCTCTATTATCACATATGTCTATTTATAAATGTCAGAGGGTGGATTGGGGACGCTCCTCCATTCAAGTATGTATCTTAGAAATCTCTGTGTTGATTCCATTCTTATGTTACTTCATGCTCTTCGTGCTTTTGCTGCAAGGGGTAGCTACTCTCCAGTATGACTTGGTTATACGTTTCAAGTAGGTTGCTTCTCTTAACTCTTGTACTATAAAGCTTATGCAGTAACTATGTCTAGGGAATATATCCTCGATATTGTGCAGTTTCTCTACTCATACAGCAAAATTATACATGGAAAAATACTTCTCAATGCTTCAGACGAAGTAGTCCTTTTAAGTTAAATGTAAATAGTTTGGGGATAGTAACATTTTAATCAATGGCTCGGTCTTTGCGTGTTTACTATTGGGTAAATACTAAACCAGGTAGCACAGCAGGTTAAACTGCTGAGCTGCTGAACTTGCTGACTGAAAGGTTGGCAGTTTGAATCTGGAGAGCAGGGTGAGCTCCTGTTGTTAGCCCCAGCTTCTGCCAACCTAGCAGTTTGGAAACATGCAAATGTGAGTAGATCAATAGGTACCACTCTGGTGGGAAGGTAATGGTGCGGCATTCGGTCATGCCGGCCACATGACTTTGGAGGTGTCTGTGGACAATACCGGCTCTTCGGCTTAGAAATGGAGATGAGCACCAACCCCCAGAATCGGACACGACTGGACTTAATGCCAAGGGGAAATCTTTCACCTTTATCTATACTCAAGTCAGCACTACATTGCAAATAAGCTGACTCCTTCCTATTTGTTTTCTTCACTCTTCACATAAAGATTGAAAACATGATGGTATGGAACATCCTAACTTCAGTATTCAATATTCATATCCATGTAGTCATGCTGGCCACATGACCTTGGAGGTGTCTGTGGACAACGCCGTCTCTTCTCTTTGGCTTTGAAATGGAGATGAGCACCAGAGTCGGACATGACTGGACTTAATGTCAAGGGGAAACCTTTACCTTTTACCTTTTATATTTTCTTTTAAAAACAGCCCCCGATTTGAGCTTCCCATGGGAACCACAGACCAACCCCCACTACCTCCACCAACGCAACCACAGCAAAAGGTATGTAGATTTTCAGCTGCCTGCTCCAAACTCGAAATTGTCTGCCAAATGCCTGAGCTTGCATTTCTTTCTTCTTTGTAAGATGGGTTCATTGAAATAGCTTGAGCCAGTCTCTATCAGATGGTCACAGTTACTTACAAAATCCCTCGTAATCCGAGGATGATGGTCCTCCAAGTCTTGTGTCTTGATGGTGGGTTTGTAGGTGGCTGTGGAGCCCTCTTCTTGACCCACATGTTCTCCCACAATGAGAACATCAGTTTCCAGGTGAAAGTCCCGGTCAGGGTTAGCTTGGCGTGCCTTCCTATTGGCACTTTTTGCCCTCCATTTGTGCCTCTTCGAATTCTACAGCACTGCTGGTTACAGCTGACCTCCAACTGGAGCGCTCAAGGGCCAGGGCTTCCCAGTTCTCAGTGTCTGTGCCAGAGTTTTTAAGGTTGGCTTTGAACCCATCTTTCAATCTCTTTTCCTGCCCACCAACATTATGAGTTGAAGCAACAAAAATATACAGTGCTTACATGAGAGGCTTCAGCTATGGCATTGCAAAAGTAGAGTTGGTACATCATTACAAGTCATTTCTCTTTTTAAATTAAGTGTATTTATTTTCTGGACACCAGTATGCTCCTGATATTCCCATTAGATGTTGCGTGGGCTGTGCTTATGAGAATGTTGCTTCTGTATCAGGAATTCATCTGTATCAGGAATTCAATCTCAACAGTTTGGATAATTACTATGGACTAACTAATAAGTATATAATCAAGACTCAGCACTTTAGGTTTTAATATGTTATGTGTTTTAATCTGGTTTATTGTATTATGTGTTTTATTTGTTCATATGTTTGATGGTTTTATTGTTTGTTAGTGTATGTTTATTATTATATTGGTTTTATTGCTATGTCTATGATGCCGCATTGAATCTTTGCTAGATTTTGTAAGCCGCCTTGAGTCCCCTGTGGGGTGAGAAAGGCGGAGCAAAAATGAATTACATAAATAAATAATAAATAAATATTAGGGCTGGGCGGTTTCGTTCGTTAATTTCGTAATTCATTATTAATTCGTATTTAAATTAGCTTACGATCCGATATTGAGCCATTTTGGAATAGCGTGAGGAGTTAAATAGATTCGAAACAATTTTTTCAATTTATTTTGTAATTATTCGTAATTGTTTCGAAATTGTTTCGTAATTGTTTCATAATTATTTTCGCATGCCTGGTGCAAGTTTTATAGTTGTTGTTTGTTTTATCACAGTCAACAACAAAGGGAGAGGGAAGCTTCAGAAGTTCCCCCTGTCCCATTTGGAGGTTTTTTCAGCATATTTTTAGCATATTTGGAGGGTTTTTTTTAGCATATTGCGCAATCGCGTCCGCCATTAACGAATCGATTCGAAATTTACAAAATTTCGTATATTTCAAAAAATTTTAAAAGGAAAATTTCGGAATTCTTTAAAGAAACGAAACGTGATGGACCCCTTAAAAACGAATCGAGATTAGAAACAAAATTTTCCGTGGTTACCCAGCCCTAATAAATATGCCTGGACTACGAGTGTTGGGTTATGTGATTTTACTTGTTTTTATTGATATGTTTTAATTCCACTTTTTAATGTTAAATGATGTCATGTTTTATGATTTAATCGATAATTGTATGTTATTATTGTTATGTTAGGTTTCTGTATGTGAAAATTTTGCCATAATTGTGTTGGGAACGGATTTGAATCCCCCACCGGGGTGAGAAAAGCAGTATATAAATGAAGTAGATAAATAAATAAAATAAGCGTGCTTTATTTATTTATTTGTGTCAAAAACATTGCCTAAATAAGTATAAAAGTGATAAAAATAGAGGAAGTGCAAGTGGCTAAACAATTTCAGACCAAAAACGGGCAACAGCGACCGCATTGTCTGTAGCTTTAAACAAATCTTCCTCTGTGAATGAGGCATAGTGGACAAGCATATTTATTTATTTATTTACATCATTTATATGCCATGGAGCACCCTGTGGCGCAGTGGGTTGAACCCTTGTGCCGGCAGGACTGAAGACCAACAGGTCACAGGTTCAAATCCGGGGAGAGCGTGGATGAGCTCCCTCTATCAGCTCCAGCTCCTCATGCAGGGACATGAGAGAAGCCTCCCACAAGGATGATGAAACACCAAACCATCCGGGCGTCCCCTGGGCAACGTCCTTGCAGATGGCCAACTTGCAGTTTCTCAGGTCGCTCTTGACACGACCCAAAAAATAAATAAATCATATGCTGCCCTTCTCACTCCAAAGAGAACTCGGAGTGACTTACCAGAGATAGATAGATATAATATATTATATTATTAGTATAGTATAGTACAATATCTAATTATACAATATATAATTATAATATCATATTATTAGTAGTATTATATTGCATTACATGATAATATTTTAAATATTTTATGTGCATAATTTTAACGAATGACAGTTACATCTGTCAAGTAGGAAGTTTAGGTACCGCTTATGCGGGGAGGCTAATTTACGAGGCCATAAAAATCTCCAGCAAGCATGCCAAGAATGAGGAAGTATTTAATCAGTGTCACAAATGGACAGTGAAGCAACAGCTCCCCTAGTGGCCAGAATACCCTCGAGAAAAAGCTGGAATGTTGAATAGCCTCTGAGTGTCTGTCTATATATGTTGTGTGTCTATGGCATTGAATGTTTGCCATGTATATGTACATTGTGATCCGCCCTGAGTGCCCTGCGGGGTGAGAAGGGCAGAATATAAATACTGTCAATAAATAATAATAGTTCTCTGATGAGCAAATACGATGTGTATGGTTGTTTTTCCTCCTCAGCCAAACAACAACCCGCCATTGCAAAGGTCGTCCTCCCTCATCCAGCTCACAAGCCTGAACTCTTCTCCCAACCAACAGCGGACTCCTCAGGTCATTGGCGTCATGCAGTCTCAAAGCAATAGCATCGGGAACAGAGGCCCTCGCCCGCTGGAGCAGGTCACCTGTTACAAGGTAGGCTGACGGTGCCTTTTGTGATAGGGGAAGGGTTGACTGGAAGGGTGGGAATCCTGTGTCCCAAACTCAGAGGTCTTTAGGTGTTATAACAGTAAACCATACTCATGTTCTTCCTCAGTGAAGATTTCTGTTTCCAGGTGGAAGGCAGTGCTGGTCAGAGTTGGCTTGACATGCCTTCTTCCTCTTGGTTTTATTTGTCGTGTCAGAACAACCAGTCAAATTATATTACATTTCTAACAGAACAAAGCAAACAAGCAGATTACAAAATTTGTGAGTATGAGAGTTATTAAATGTCCTTTGACCAGTATCTGGCCACTTGGAGTGCTTCTGGTGTTGCTGCAAGAAGGTCCTCCCTTGTGCATGTGGCAGGGCTCAGGGTGCATTGCAGCAGGTGGTCAGTGGTTTGCTCCTCTCCACACTCGCATGTCGAGGATTCCACTTTGTAGCCCCATTTCTGAAGGTTGGCTCTGCATCTCGTGGTGCCAGAGCGCAGTCTGTTCAGTGCCTTCCAGGTGCCCAGTCCTCTGTGTGCCCAGGGGGGAGTCTCTCATTGGGTATCAGCCATTGGTTGAGGTTCTGGGTTTGAGCCTGCCACTTTTGGACTCTCGCTTGCTGAGGTGTTCCAGCGAGTGTCTCTGTAGATCTTAGAAAACTATTTCTAGATTTAAGTCGTTGACGTGCTGGCTGATACCCAAACAGGGATGAGCTGGAGATGTCTCTGCCTTGGTCCTTTCACTATTGGCTGCTACTTCCCGGCGGATGTCAGGTGGTGCAATACCGGCTAAGCAGTGTAATTTTTCCAGTGGTGTAGGGCGCAGGAGCCCCCGGTGGCGCAGTGGTTTAAAGCACTGAGCTGCTGAGCTTGTTGATCGAAAGGTCGCAGGTTCGATTCCGGGGAGCGGCGTGAGCTTCCGCTGTCAGCCCTAGCTTCTGCCAACCTAGCAGTTCGAAAACATGCAAATGTGAGTAGATCAATAGGTACCGCTCCGGCGGGAAGGTAACGGCGCTCCATGCAGTCATGCCGGCCACATGACCTTGGAGGTGTCTACGGACAACGCTGGCTCTTCGGCTTAGAAATGGAGATGAGCACCACACCCCAGAGTCAGACATGACTGGACTTAATGTCAGGGGACTACCTTTACCTTTACCTTAGGGCGCAGGCACCCTGTGATAATGTGGCATGTCTCATTAAGAGCCACATCCACTGCTTTAGTGTGGTGAGATGTGTTCCACACTGGGCATGCATACTCAGCAACAGAGTAGCACAGCGCAAGGGCAGATGTCTTCACTGTATCTGGTTGTGATCCCCAGGTTGTGCCAGTCAGCTTTCGTATGATATTGTTTCTAGCACCCACTTTTTGCTTGATGTTCAGGCAGTGCTTCTTGTAGGTAAGAGCACGGTCCAGAGTGACTCCCAGGTATTTGGGTGCGCTGCAATGCTCCAGTGGGATTCCTTCCCAGGTGATCTTCAGCGCTCGGGATGCTTCTCTGTTCTTGAGATGAAAGGCACATGTCTGTGTTTTAGATGGATTAGGGATCAGCTGGTTTTCCCTGTAATAGGCAGTAAGAGCACCTAGAGCTTCGGAGAGCTTCTGTTCAACCATCTCAAAGCTCCCTGCTTGAGCAGTAATGGCACGATCATCAGCATAGATGAAACTCTCTGTCCCTTCTGGCAGTGGCTGGTCATTGTGTAGATGTTGAACATGGATGGAGCAAGCACGCTCCCCTGAGGCAGGCCGTTCTTCTGTTTCCACCATCTGCTTCTCTGGCCCTGGAACTCAACAAAGAAGCTCCTGTTTTGTAGCAGGTTTCCTATGAGGTGGGTGAGGTGGTAGTCCTTTGTGATGTTATACATTTTCCTCAGGAGGAGGCAGTGGTTCACAGTATCATAGGCTGCTGACAGGTCTATGAAGACAGCTCTTGGTGCATTTCCCCTTATCTATCTATTTATTTATTTATTTACAGTATTTGTATACCGCTTTTCTCATCCCGAGGGGGACTCAAAGTGGTTTACACATAAGTAATGGCAAAAATTCAATGCCAGTACAAACAATTACAATTATACACTACAATTAGACATAAATTAAATTAAAAATACATCCATGAGAAATAAATAAACTTTATTTCTCAATTTGTACCTCTTTGAATTCCGCAGCACTGGTAGTCACAGCTGACCTCCAGTTATTGCGCTCAAGGGCTAAGGCTTCCCACTTCTCTCTTGGTGTCTATGCCACTGTTTTTAAGGTTGACTTTAAGACCATCTTTCAATCTCTTTTCTTGTTCACCAGTATTCCGTTTTCCAATTCTGAGTTGGGAGTATAGTAACTGCTTTGGGAGGTGGTGATATTTAATAATAATAATAATAATAATAATAATAATACTTTATTTATACCCCGCTCCATCTCTCCCAGGGGGACTCAGTGCGGCTTACATGAGGCCATGCTCATCAATACAGTACACACAATATAACACAAAAACATAATAGAACCAAAAAAAATACATAAAATGCAAAACCAATATATAAGCGACACAGCAATATAAAAACAAACATTAAAAACACAGAAGATTTCACTGGGCAGAGCCAAATTCAAGGATGAAATTTTAAAACTGGGAGATAGGACAATGTAAATTAAAAGGAGGAGGATCCGGGAATGAGGAAGGATTTAATTGCACGAACCATAAAATAAAATGCTTCTAAGGACATTTTGTGCAAAGTTTGGTCAGGGAGTATCTTACATTCAATCATTGAAGGCACTTTGGAATAACCAGGTTTTCAGATTCCTCCTGAAGATTGCCAGCGTGGGGGCTTGCCTAATGTCTCTGGGGGGAGAGTTCCAGAGCTGGGGGGCCACCACAAAGAAGGCCCTCTCTCATCCCCACAAGTTGCATTTGCGATGCGGGCAGGAGCGAGAGAAGAGCCTCTCCGGAAGATCAAAGAGATCGTGTGGGTTTGTAGATGGAAATGCGGTTGCGCAGGTAGGCGGGTCCCAAACCGTTCAGGGCTTTGTAGGTCAAAACCTGCACCTTGAATTGGGATCGGAAAATAAACAGCAGCCAGTGGAGCTCCTTAAACAGGAAGGTTCACCACTCTCTGTAATTCGCACCAGTTAGTAATCTGGCTGCCGCCCGTTGGACCAATTGGAATTTCCGGGCCATCTTCAAGGGCAGCCCCACGTAGAGCGCATAGTCCAATCTAGAGGTAATTAAAGGGTGGACTACTGTGGCCATTTGGACATTTTGGATAATGTGGCATTTGGTGCAGTGGAGCTGATGGTGTAGGAGCAGGAGTGGAGTGTGACCTCATGTTTCGCAGGCATATAACAGGGTTGGGAGGACAATGGCTTTATAAACGACTCCCTTGGTCTTCCTACGGATGTCCCGGTCCTCAAACACTCTCTCCTTCATTTGGAAAAATGCTGCACTCGCAGAGCTCAGGCGGTGTTGTATTTCAGTGTCAGTGTTGACTTTTGTGGAGAGGTGGTTGCCGAGGGAGCGGAAATGGTCAACGTTTTCTAATGTTACAAAATTAAGCTGTATTTCTGGCATTGGAGAGGGACTGGCCAGTGCCTTTTGCTGAAAGAGCACTTTGGTTTTCTCGCCGTTCAACGAGAGGTCGAGCTTTTTGTATGATTCTGCAAAGGTGCTTATAGAGTGCTTGTAGGTCTTCTGAATGCGCACAGACTACATTATCATCGGCATATTGGAGTTCTGTAACATGTTGTTGTGACTCTGGTTTTGGCTTTCAGTCTGCTGAGGTTAAATAGCTTGCCATCTGTCCGATAGATGATTTCCATTCTGGTGGGAAGCATCCCGACAACAAGATGAAGATGGAAAATAAGATTTTGATTTTCAGTCTGCTGAGGTTATGTAGCTTGCCATCTATCCAATAGATGCTTTCCACTCCGGTGGGAAGCTTCCTATCAACAAGATGGAACTACCATAGCAATGAAGATGGAAAATCAGGTTGGGGCTGTGCAGAAGTCATTGATACTATGTATGTGTTTAACTGTTAGAGTATATGTTTGTGTTTGCAACAGTAGCTAAAACTAGAGTTATCTGGTTTGAATCCACAGTGAGCGTTGCCAAGGAGACCAGGCAGGCTAGCTCAGGAGAGTGAGAAGTGGGCGGAGCCAAGCAGAAAAAGTTATGTGCATCTTTGGAAAAAGGGGCTGTGTGAGTGTGGAGGCTTGAAAAGCCTGGGAGAGAGGTGTGTGAGAGCAGCTGGAGGTTTTTCAGTCTAGAAGGGCTGAAGAGAGAAACCTGGCCAGTTTCTTTAGTCAAGGAAGACTAAAGGAAGCTTGTTAAGATCCCTAGTCAAGGAAGGACTAGAGATCAGAGATTTGATCAAGGAAAGATCAAATTGGAAGGCTATTCATAGTAGGAAACGTTGTTCACTAAAGAGCTTCACCTCAGTAAAAGTTAGCCACGAGCTGTGTTATTTGGAAGAGTGGACTGTATTACAAACCAAGTGATATTCAAAGTTCTATAAGTTATTTAACAGCCTGCAACCATACGCTTTGTACACAATAAACTTGTTATCTTTTGTTGAAGACCGTCTCATCTCAATTAATCTGCGTCTGTAAAGCCAGATCTCATCGGTGGTACCTCAAATACCTCACGTTGGTGGCAGTTACCTTAATTTACAAGTAATAATTGGCCTCCTCTATAATATATTCTTATACACAATTGAGGCCTGAGATTAATTCCCTCCATAATCATCCACACCTGTACAATTGGTTCGCGGGTAACTGTACAGGGGCAATAACACATCTCTGTTTGACAGCTGATTCCACCTTAAATAGATCACTTTGGGGGCCATTGCTGTCCAAGATTGTTGCCATCATGTAATCGTGGATGCTCACAAATTGTCAGGGCATCCGAGTTTTTGGAGGATGGTCCAAAGAACACTGCAATTCACTGTGTCAAATGCTTTCGTACTATTATAAGGGACTGAAGCATAAAGGACAGTCTGATTATGTTGTTTCTTTTGAAGCCTTAGGATAAGTTTCTTCCAAACGACCCATTTATTTATTTATTTATTTATTTCGGGTATTTCTACCCCGCCCTTCTCAACCCCTGAAGGGGGACTCAGGGCGGCTTTCAACCGGCATACGTTGATGCCTACAATTCACGCAGTAAAATACATAGTAACAATAAATTATAACAGTTAAAACATTACATTAATACAATAAAAATACAATAAAATGCCCTCCTGTTAGCCATCGTTTTGCCAAGTCCGTAATTAATAAATTCATTCCGCTTATCACAGTCCCGTTTCCAAAGCTTTAGTGGTCATTGTCCATTGTCAGTCTGCCAGATTATCCAAAGGCCTGGTCCCATATCCATGTTTTTAATTTCCTTCTGAAAGAGAGGAGGGATGACAATGATCTAATTTCCCCAGGGAGTGAATTCCACAGGCGGGGGGCCACCACCGAGAAGGCCCTGTCCCATGTTGCCTTTTTCAGGGCACATCTGCACTTTGTACAATTTTGTATCTTTCTTTTCAAACTATAGATTGCTTAAAATAAATTCCTTTTCTTGGAATCTAAAGATTTCAGCAAAGATTATAACTTAATGTGTATTGATTTTATGTTTTCTTTTTTCCCAACAGTGTGGTGAAAAAGGACATTATGCCAACAGATGTACCAAAGGACATTTGGCTTTTCTTAGTGGACAATGAGCCGTGGTGAAATTGTACAGCACTTTTTTTTATGGGAGCCGGATTGTATATACCACTTTCTTGGAACTGTTTCACGTCTTCTGAACGCCTGTCTCGAAAGGACTGGTTAACTGTGAACAACTGATCTGTCGCCTTCTTTTTGTATGTCTTAAGGAAAGAAGATACAGCTATTTAAGGACAAATAATAGCTTGTATTTGCCTTTGTTTTTGGAGTAATTGGGTGAAGACAAACCTAATACATATGTCTCCTTACGACCAGTGTGCGGAACAGGCACTTATTGTTTGAGTATGTTTGGCCCGAAAGCCTTCAATTTTTTTTCCAGTCTTTGGTTGAATGGCAAAATACACAAGACAAGGTATAGTACACAACTTCTAAGGTGTTTGGTACAAGGATTTCTGGTGGGAACAGTTTACTGTAGCAATCTCTTTTTATGTTTTGGAGGAAGGAAATAGGGATTCACTGCAAAGTTATCTGCATCTGGATAAAAGTAGAGGGCTTGCCTTTGAAATATGTCAAAGTAGAAGCTTGCAAAGGCCTTTCTGTGCCCAAACGAGAAGCAAGTATAGACTTAAGAAGACAATTGGTAATGTTGAATAAGGCTTGTACACCTATTCTGTGAGAATTGAAATCAAATTGATTCCAGCCTTAGAAGCCATTCCCAATATAGGAAGGCTTATGGAATACATGGACCAATTTGGTCCTCTCCATTTGTCACTTTCGTCCAAACTGCGTGGGGATAAAAGGCTTATACACCTGATCTGAAGACAATTGGTAATATTGAATAAGCCTCATACACATCTGATCTGTAAGAACTGAAATCAAGTTGATTCCAGCCTTAGAAGCCATTACCAATATAGGAAGGGTGATGGAATACATGGACCAATTTGGTCCTCTCCATTTGTCACTTTCGTGCAAACTGTGTGGAGGAAAATACAGGCTACGTATAGTCCTTGCCTTTAATTTTGCTATCTGGGCAATTTTTACCCCTTATGAAAATGGAAATATGTCTCACTGTCCCAGAACTTTCCCCAGCATCTCTTTTTCCTCCTAAGATGGCACGTGGAAGATATGCAATGGCATGTCCGGTCACCATTTTGGCCAAAGTACATGTGATATGTATTGTCGAAGGCTTTCATGGCCGGTATCACTGGGTTGTTGTAGGTTTTTCCGGGCTATATGGCCATGTTCTAAAGGCATTTTTTCCTGTCGTTTCGCCTGCATCTATTGCAAGCATCCTCACTACCTCTGAGGATGCTGCCAAGATGCAGGCGAAACGTCAGGAGAGAATGCTCTAGAACATGGCATATAGCCCAAAAAACCTACAACAACCTACATATATCACTAGGTTCTTTTAGGTTTTTTCGGGCTATATGGCCATGTTCTAGAGGCATTTCTCCTGACGTTTCGCCTGCATCTATGGCAAGCATCCTCAGAGGTAGTGAGGTCTGTTGGAAATAGGAAAATGGGTTTATATATCTGTGGAATGACTGGGGTGGGGCAAAGAGCTCTCTGCTTGAAGCTAGGTGTGAATGTTTCAGCTGATCACCTTCATTAGCATTTGAAGGCCTGGCTGAGCCTGGGAAAATGTTCTGTTGAGAGGTGTTAAGATGTGCCTGGTTGTTTCCTCTCTGCTGTTTTGCAGTTGTAAGAACATGAAAATGAACAAAATCTGGCTACCAGTATTAAAAAACTCTAAAATTACTACAGCAAAACAGTAGAGAGGAAACAACAGGCACATCTTAACACCTCTCAACAGAACATTTTCCCAGGCTCAGCCAGGCCTTCAAATGCTAATGAAGGTGGTCAGCTGAAACATTCACACCTAGCTTCAGCAGAGAGCTCTTTGCCCCACCCCAGCCATTCCACAGATATATAAACCCATTTTCCTACTTCCAACAGACCTCACTACCTCTGAGGATGCTTGCCATAGATGCAGGCGAAACGTCAGGAGAAAAATTGCCTCCAGAACATGGCCCTATAGCCCGAAAAAACCTACAAGAACCTAGTGATTCCAGCCATGAAAGCCTTCGACAATTCATGTGCAAAGTCTGCATGCTGTCAGAAGGAGGTCCTTCTGGGGTGTGGGCTACAGAGAAGACTTGGCTCCAGAGCCAAAACAAAATACCTTTTGACCTTTCTTGCACTCCTATCTTCTGCAGTGACTGGCCAGTCATTAGAATGTGTTTTCGAAGGCTTTCGTGGCAGGAATCACTGGGTTGCTGTGAGTTTTCTGGGCTGGGACATGGCCATCCATCCCGGAAAACTCACAGCAACCCAGTCATTTGAATGGTTGTCCTTCTGAGCCAAACACTTTTTGCAAGCCTCCCATGTTTACAGTTCTCTTAACACCAAATGGAAGCCAAGGCCTCTGGAATTTGCCTTGAAAGAACTGCCGTGATTGTTGCTTTACGTCTTTCTTTCCTATGCTCAGTCTGTTGAAACTTTTCATCAAATCGAACTTGAAGGCACAGGGTGGAAAGCAATACGTGCCCAGGAAGAACAGAAATGGGGTCCTGTTTCGGAATGACACATCCAGGATCAATTAAAAATATTTTTTAAAAGAAGTGCCTCGTGTTATCTTCTGTCATTACCTCAGGAATCTATATCAATAAAAACGTAATGTTCGTTTGTGGGATTATCAGAACTCAAAAATCACTGGATGAATTGACACCAAATTTGGACACAAGACACCTATCAGGCCAATGAGTGACCATCACTCTAAAAATTGATTTTTTTCATTTGGGAGTTGTAGTTGCTGGGATTTATAGTTCAGCTACAATCAAAGCTCATTCTGAACTCCACCTGTTCTGTCGCGCACTGGGCTTGAAATAAATTGCTTTTAAAACAGGACGTGTAACTTTAGCCCAGCGGGAAGCCAGGGGGCCTGAAGAGAAATTCATAAGGATTTTCACCATAAACAGTCTTTAGAACAGTGGTTCTCAACCTGGGGGTCGGGACCCCTGGAGGGGTCGCGAAGGGGTGTCAGCAAAGACCATCAGAAAACACAGTATTTTCTGTTGGTCGTGGGGGTCTCTGTGTGGGAAATTTGGCCCAATTCTATCATTGTTGGGTTCAGAACGCTCCTTGATTGTAGGTGAACTATAAATCCCAGCAAGTACAACTCCCAAATCTCAAGGTCTATTTTCCCAAAACCCCACGAGTGTTCACATTTGGGCATATGGAATATCCGTGCCAAGTTTGGTCCAGATCCATCATTGTTGGAGTCTAGAGTGCTCTCTGGATATAGGCGAACTTCAACTCCCAAACTCAAGGTCAATGCCCACCAAACCCTTCCAGAATTTTCTGTTGGTCATGGGAGTTCTGTGTGCCAACTTTGGTTCAATTCCATTGTTGGTGGGGTTCAGAATGCTCTTTGTTTACAGGTTAACTATAAATCCCAGCAACTACAACTCCCAAATGGCAAAATCAATCCCCCCGCCAACCCCACCAGTATTCAAATTTGGGCATACTGGGTATTTGTGCCAAATTTGCTCCAGTGAATGAAAATACGTCCTGCTGATCATTATTTACATGGTGATTCATAATGTTAGGGTTATGGTTGGGAGTCACCACAACATGAGGAACTGTATTAAGGGGTCACGGCATTAGGAAGGTTGAGAACCACTGCTTTAGAGGGTTTGTGAAATATAACAAAGTCTTTTATTGGTGAACAATCAACAGAAACTTCCTTTGTCTTCAAAAGGTTAAACAAATGCTTCCAGGCTTTGGTGCAACTGGTGCCTTCTAACTGTTACTTTTACTCTAAAGGAAAATCCCTTTCCAAACTTCTCTCAAGCTGACTGTGAACCTAAACCTAACTGATGTGGGCGCCACTACCGGGTTGAACTGCGTCTCAAAGCACCGAGTGGACCTACCAGTAGGCCTGTAGTCACTTCAGCTGGAGTTCTTAGATATTCAAAGCTGCTTTTCCCTCCGAAATTCCTCAGAGCTTTAGGGCTGTTTCCCTGGGAATCTTTGGGAATCGTTTTGCTCTTAAGACTGTTCTCCTCCGGGAAGTCTTAAGGGTTGAAGTCTTTGTACAGGAGGAGTCTGTACACGTCCTGTACATTGACTTTCCTTGCTGAGACTGACTGAAAATGGCTCCCTCCCTTTCTCAATTGTCCTGAACAGGGGGCGGAACCAAACTTAACGATGATGGACAGGGGCCTGCCCTATAAATGCAAACTTTTAACAGGAAGCCACCCTTCTGCAGAATCCCAAGCCTTGGGCTGCAAGCAAACACTTAATACAAGGCAAAACAAGTGGGAGCTTCTGGTACACCTGTACCAGCACACCACCAATGATGGAATTGAACCAAACTTGGAATACTGTTCTCCCATGACCAACAGAAAATACTGGAAGGGTTTGGTGGGCAGTGTCCTTTGGTTTTGGAGTTGTAGTTCACCCAGATTCAGAGAGCACTGTGGACTCAAACAATGATGGATCTTGACCAAACTCTACATGAAGATACTCAATATGCCCAAATGTGAACACTGGTGGAGTTTGGGGAAAATAGAATCTTGACATTTGGGAGTTGTAGTTGCTGGGATTTATAGTTCACCTACAATCAAAGAGCATTCTGAACTCCACCAATGATGGAATTGAACCAAACTGCACACAGTTCTCCCATGACCAACAGAAAATACTGGAAGGGTTTGGTGGGCATTGACCTTGAGTTTTGGAGTTGTAGTTCACCTACATCCAGAGAGCACTGTGGACTCAAACAATGATGGATCTGGACCAAACTCTACACAAATACTCAATATGCCCAAATGTGAACACTGGTGGAGTTTGGGGAAAATAGAATCTTGACACTTGGGAGTTGTAGTTGCTGGGATTTATAGTTCACCTACAATCAAAGAGCATTCTGAACCCACCAACGATGGAATTGAACCAAACTTGGCACACAGTTCTCCCATGACCAACAGAAAATACTGGAAGGGTTTGGTGGGCAGTGTCCTTTGGTTTTGGAGTTGTAGTTCACCTACATCCAGAGATCACTGTGGACTCAAACAATGATGGATCTGGACCAAACTCTACACAAATACTCAATATGCCCAAATATGAACACTGGTGGAGTTTGGGGAAAATAGAATCTTGACATTTGGGAGTTGTAGTTGCTGGGATTTATAGTTCACCTACAATCACATAGCATTCTGAACCCCACCAATGATAGAATTGGGCCAAACCTCCCACACAGAACCCCCATGACCAACAGAAAATACTGGAAGGGTTTGGTGGGCAGTGACCTTTGGTTTTGGAGTTGTAGTTCACCTACATCCAGAGATCACTGTGGACTCAAACAATGATGGATCTGGACCAAACTACACGAATACTCAATATGCCCAAATGTGAACACTGGTGGAGTTTGGGGAAAATAGAACCTTGACATTTGGGAGTTGTAGTTGCTGGGATTTATAGTTCACCTACAATCACAAAGCATTCTGAACCCCACCAACGATAGAATTGGGCCATACCTCCCACACAGAACCCATGACCACCAGAGTGGGCCACAGCAACACGTGGCAGGGGACAGCTAGTATATTAATAGAATGCAAGTTAACCTATACTTATTCAAGTTTGAAACACAAATTGTATTATCTTGTCGGTGCTACATAATGCATTGCTAGCAATACCCACATCCTCTCTACTTTAAAGTGATTTCTAGCTTATGTGGCGTTTTCTCAACATTTTTTCAGAGGACCATTGCTTTTCTCTTTTTCTTCGATATCAGGAGCAACTTGAGAAACTGCAAGTTGCTTCTGGTGTGAGAGAATTGGCTATCCAGGGGATGCCCAGATGTTTTCCCAACCTGTGAGAGGCTTCTCATGTCCCCGCATGAGAAGCTGGAGCTGACAGACAGGAGCTCTCCCTGCTCCCTGGATCCAAACTGCCGACCTTTTGGTCAGCAGTCTTGCTGGCGCAATGGGCTAAACCTGCGGCCTGACTTTCCCTGAGAGAGCGGGTTTGACTTCTTGAAACTCACCCAATGAGTTTCTGTGACTAAGCAGGGTTTTGTACCATTGTCTCCCATTCAATGAACTGCAATCTCTATCCTTACTGCCTATTACAGGGAAAACCAGCTAATCCCTAATCCATCTAAAACACAGACATGTGTCTTTCACCTTAAGAACAGACAAGCATCCCGAGCTCTGAGGATTATTACCTGGGAAGGAATCCCACTGGAGCATTGCAGCGCACCCAAATACCTGGGAGTCACTCTGGACCGTGCTCTGACCCATAAGAAGCACTGCCTGAACATCAAACAAAAAGTGGGTGCTAGAAACAACATCATACGAAAGATGACTGGCACAACCTGGGGATCACAACCAGACACAGTGAAGACATCTGCCCTAGCGCTGTGCTACTCTGCTGATGTGTATGCATGCCCAATGTGGAACACATCTCACCACGCTAAAACAGTGGATGTGGCTCTAATGAGACATGCCGCATTATCACGGGGTGTCTGCGCCCGACACCACTGGAGAAATTACACTGTCTAACCACCTGACATCCGCCGGGAAGTAGCAGCCAATAGTGAAAGGACCAAGGCAGAGACATCTCCAGCTCATCCCCTGTTTGGGTATCAGCCAGCACGTCAACGACTTAAATCAAGAAATAGTTTTCTTAGATCTACAGAGACACTCGCTGGAACATCTCAGCAAGTGAGAGTCCAAAAGTGGCAGGCTCAAACCCAGTGGCTGATACCAAATGAGGGACTCCCTCCTGGGCACACAGAAAACTGGGCGACTTGGAAGGTGCTGAACAGACTGCGTTCGGGCACCACGGGATGCAGAGCCAACCTCAAGAAATGGGGCACAAAGTGGAATCCACGACATGTGAGTGCAGAGAAGAGCAAACCACTGACCACCTGCTGCAATGCACCCTGAGCCCTGCCACATGCACAAGGGACGACCTCCTTGCGGCAACACCAGAGGCACTCCAAGTGGCCAGATAATGGTCAAAGGACATTTAATCAACTCCCAAGCTTGCAAAATTTGTGTTTTTTTATCTGTTTGTTTTGTTGTTAGAAATGTAATACAATGGCATGGTTGCTGATGACACGATAAATAAAAATCCTCTTCTTACAATATTCAAATAAGTTCCACAAGTCACATGGACAGTATAGATTTTATTGGTCTCGGGGTACATAACTGATGCCAGAACAGAAATCCACACGTAAGAGCCGAGCTGCCTCCAGCTGAGAGGGTCCCCCATTAGACGCCAGAGCGGCAAAATGCATTCTTCTGGTTCGGTGGCTCTCAGTGGTACTTCCTCCAGCGATCATGCTCTAGAACCAAAACAAACCAGTCAGTTTAAGCTGCCTTACTTTGGAGATATTATTGTATATTCTGGGTAAACTTGAACACAAAGGGGTTGTTTGAGGCGATTTTTGTTTACTGTGTTGTCAAAGGCTTTCGTGGCATTTTTTGTTTACTTTCTCAGACCAATTAAGAGAAATCTAAAAGGTATTTAGGAAACTTAATAAAACCTAAACATGCAAAATAGGTTATTTATGAAATTCCTGAGTTGATGAATTCTGTATGACAATTAAATAACAATGTATTGTTGAAGGTTTTCATGGCCGGAATCACTGGATTGTTGTAGGTTTTTTCGGGCTATATGGCCATGTTCTAGAGGCATTCTCTCCTGACATTTCGCCTGCATCTATGGCAAGCATCCTCAGAGGTAGTGAGGTCTGTTGGAACTCGGAAAATTGGGTTTATATATCTGTGGAATTATGTCCAGGGTGGGAGAAAGAACTCTTGTCTGCTGGAGCTAGGTGTGAATGTTTCAACTGACCACCTTGATTAGCATTTGATAGCCTGGCAGTGCCTGGGACAATCTTTTGTTGAGAGGTGATTAGAAGAGGGAAAGCAAACAGGGACATCTAATCACCTCTCAACAAAAGATTGCCCCAGGCACTGCCAGGCCATCAAATGCTAATCAAGGTGGTCAGTTGAAACATTCACACCTAGCTTCAGCAGACAAGAGTTCTTTGTCCCACCCTGGTCATTCCACAGATATATAAATAGGCCTGTTTGATCAAGAAAAAATTTGTTTCTAAAATCGTTTTGTAATTGGGGTGTTTTTTTGTTTCGATATTTAAAATAATTACAAAACTTTTCCAAAAAAAGTTTTGGTATTTACGAAATTTTGTAATTATTAACTAATTTTTAGAATATTTTTTTTGTATTATTTTAAGAATAATATTAAAATAATATTAAAAAATAATATTAAAAATAATATTAAAAAATAATATTAAAATATTTTAAAATGGAAAACGAAACCGCACAGGCCTACTATACAGACATAGCGGGTTTGAGTCAGACCCAGCTAACACCTCCCAACAAAGGATTCCCCTGAGCAGGAAGGAGCCAGACTTTGAAGCTACAAGGCCATTTAATCCCAATCAAGCTGTCCAAACTCCATTTGCCTAGTTTCCAACAGACCTCTGAGGATGCCTGCCATAGATGTGGGCAAAATGTCAGGAGAGAATGCTTCTGGAACATGGTCATACATACAGCCCTGAAAACTCACAGCAATGCAGCCTTCAATTTGTGGCAATCAGATGGTATTGTCTCAGGCGGGCCACGGAGGCAGAGCCGGCGCTGCAGGAATCCCCTCCCCGGCTCACAACCGGCCTCCGCGCGCCATCCAATCGGCTCTGCCTCCTGCGCCCTCCTCCTCCTCCTCCTCCCAGCTGCGATTGGATGGCGCGCGCGCGCTCACCCTTACAACTGCCTCCTGCGCCCTCCTCCTCCTCCTCCCTCCCCTCCTCCCAGCTGTGTTGCAGGAAGTGACGCGCGCGCGCGCTCACCCTTACAACCGGCCTCCGGCCCCTGCCCTCCCCCTCCTCCTCCTCCTCCTCCTCCTCCTCCTCCTCCCAGCTGCGATTGGATGGCGCGCGCGCGCTCACCCTTACAACTGCCTCCTGCGCCCTCCTCCTCCTCCTCCACCTCCTCCCAGCTGTGTTGCAGGAAGTGACAGCCAGGAGGAGGGGGGGGGGGGGCAGGGGGGGGGCGGGGTGTAAGGTGAGCGCGCGCCGGCCGCGCCATCGCATCGCAGCTGAGGAGGAGGGCTGGCGAGGAGGCGGGAGGCCTGCTCAGCTGGGTGGGGCGGCGCATCGCAGCCGCCCCTTCGCGCCCGCGCCGCCCATTTATATTACAAAACGGGCGAAAGCTCGTAATACTCTTCGCGAGTTTAGGCCGTATGCGATATTTAAAACGCTGCTTCCGGTTAATAATATGTTTGGTGAAAAATGCGCTTCAAATGCAAAATAACGAATTAATAACGAAATAACTAAAGATTCTACAGATATATAAACCCTTTTTTCTAGTTCCAACAGACCTCACAACCTCTTGAGGATGCTTGCCATAGATGCAGGCGAAACGTCAGGAGAGAATGCCTCTAGAACATGGCCATATAGCCCGAAAAAACTTACAGCAACCTAGTGATTCCGGCCATGAAAGCCTTCGACAATACATTGATTATGTTGTTATTTATGTTTTGATTTTACTCAATGTCAATCAAGTTGGCTAACTGCAACATTCACACCTGCTGGGTTGTTGTAGGTTTCAGCAAGTTCAACAAGTTCTGCAGCTCAATGGTTTAACCCGCTGCACCACCAGGGAGAATAATAATAATAAACTAAACTTCCACAGATATATAAACCCTTTTTCCTAGTTCCAAGAGACCTCACTACCTCTGAGGAAGCTTGCCATAGATGCAGGCGAAACGTCAGGAGAAATGCCTCTAGAACATGGCCCTATAGCCCGAAAAAACCCACAAGAACCTAGTGATTCCAGCCATGAAAGCCTTCGACAATACAATAAACAACATCATAAATACATAAAACATGTGAATACATAACAATATAAAATTACAATAAACACAATCACAGTGACAATGGGCAGGCTACATGTAATGATTAAAAGAAAAACCGATTGAAGGAGGAGAGTAGTTGTAGGATGAACACATTTTCAACATTAATTCTCAACCATATAATATTAAGTTTTCCTTACTGAGATGGCTGTAATTCCAGATGTAGCTGACGATGACATAACCCGTTAACATCATAGCAATACCACCAATGCCGCACTTCTTCACATCAATGTACTTTGCGATAAATCTGTCATAACCTAGCAAGAAAAAAAACAGTATTTTGTGGAGCCTCTTTTAATATCTAGCTAAGGGATCTAAAGATCCATCTCATCACTAAAAACATGCACAGTAAGTAGTAGAAATGACTTATAATTTGGTTTTTCTTATAGGAAACTACACTTTATTACAGGAAAACCTTATTTAAAGGTCAAGATTTCCCCTTGACATTAAATCTAGTCAAGTCCGACTCTGGGAGCATGGAGCACACATTTGCATGTTTTCGAACTGCTAGGTTGGTAGAAGCTGGGGCTAACAGTGGGAGCTCACCCCGCTCCCTGGATTCAAATCACGAACATTCTGGTCAGCAAGTTTAGCAACTCAGTGGTTTAACCCACTGTGCCACCGCAGCCCCTAAACCTTATTTAAATGTGCTTTTTAAAAAAATGATTTTTATTAGAATACTAGCTGTCCCCTGCCATGCGTTGCTGTGGCCCAGTCTGGTGATCTGGAAAATAAATGAGAAAGTGTTGGTTTCTAATATATGTAATTCCTTTCTGCTTGTGAGTAAACAGTATTTCTTGTTGTTTCTTTGTCAGTGTTGATGTGGAGAGTGTCTGGTTTGCCTACTCTGGAATATGCAACATTCCTAGTCCTTCTTTAAGGGTCCCTTTCAAATCTATGATACTATATCTCTCTCTGTGTGTGAGAATCATATCTATCTATCTATATTTATGACTGGATGGCTCTTTGTCAGGAGGGCTCTGCTTACATTTTCTTGTCCTGGTGAAGACAGTTGGACTGGATGGCCTTAAGTATTTTCTGTTGGTCATGGGGGTTCTGTGAGGGAAGTTTGACCCATTTCTGTCGTTTGTGGGTTTCAGAATGCTCTTTGATTGTAGTGAACTATAAATCCCAGTAACTACAAATCCCAAATGTCAAAGTCGATTTCCTCCAAACTCCATCTGTGTTCATATTTGGGCATATGGAATATTTGTGTCAAGTTTGGCCCAGATCCATCATTGTTTGAGTTCCACAGTGCTCTCTGGATGTAGGTGAACTACAACTCCAAAACTCAAGGTCAATGCCCAGCAAACCCTTCCAGTGTGTTCTGTTGGTCATGGAAGTCCTGTATGCCATGTTTGGTTGAATTCCATCATTGGTGGAGTTCAGAATGCTCTTTGATTGTAGGTGAACTATAAATTGCAGCAACTACAACTCCCAAATGTCAAGATATATTTCCCTTAAACTCCAACTCTGTTCATATTTGGGCATATGGAATATCTGTGTCAAGTTTGGCCCAGATCCATCATTGTTTGAGTCCACAGTGCTCTCTGGATGTAGGTGAACTACAACTCCAAAACTCAAGGTCAATGCCCAGCAAACCCTTCCAGTGTGTTCTGTTGGTCATGGAAGTCCTGTATGCCATGTTTGGTTGAATTCCATCATTGGTGGAGTTCAGAATGCTCTTTGATTGTAGGTGAACTATAAATTGCAGCAACTACAACTCCCAAATGTCAAGATATATTTCCCTTAAACTCCAACTGCGTTCATATTTGGGCATATGGAATATTCGTGCCAAGTTTGGTCCAGATCCATCATTGTTTGAGTCCACAGTGCTCTCTGGATGTGGGTGAACTATAATTCCCAAACTCAAGGTCAATGTCCACCAAACCTTTCCAGTTTTTTCTGTTGGTCATGGGAGCCCTGTGTGCTAAGTCTGGCCCAATTCCATCACTGGTGGAGTTCAGAATGCTCTTTGATTGTAGGTAAACTATAAATCCCAGCAACAATTCCCAGAATGACAACATCATTTTTTTTTTTTGAGTGGAGGACATAAATTGGCCTCTTAGGTGTCTTGTGTCCAAATTTGGTGTCAATTCCCCCAGTGGTTTTTGAGTTCTGATGGTAGCACAAACTAACATTACATTTTTATTTATATAGATTATAAAGTTACATCGAAAGAGGGGAAATATTTGTAAGAAAAGTAGGAAAATAGAAAATAAGAAAAAAAGGGGGGGGGGAGCAAAAAATACACACAAAAATACACACAAAAAAAACACAAAAAAGGGAAAAAATTAAAAATTAACTTCCATCTCATCCTCAGGTTTTTAGTCTCATTGAATTATCCAGTTATTTAAAAAACAACCAATTTCCTCTTATTTTCTACTTTCTTTCTCGTAATCACCAAAGAGGGTCCAATCTGTCCTCTTTATCGGTTTCCCGTTATTTTTCTTCAAGAAAAAAAGTTAGTTCATTCATTTCTCTTATTTTCCCCAGCCATTCATCCATGGTTGGGGTGCTGTCTTGTTTACAAAATTACGCCGCAGTCGTAAAATATGTCAATAATTTGTCCTCATTTTCAGTTAATTGTAATTCCGAATCCGTAAAACTTAGTAAGTAATATTCTGGTTTCTTTTTAAATGTTCTCTTCAAACAAAATTGTGTTTCCTCATGTACCATCGATCAATACTTCGATATTTCTTTACAAGTCCACCACATATGGTAAAAGGTACCAACCTGGTGACATCCTTTCCAGCATTTATCAGAAGAGTTTTTATACATAAGAGCCATTTTTTTAGGAGTGCTTATTAATGTTTTTGTTTTGAGCTTTGCAAACTGCCTTTATTCAAAGGCGGAATATTAATCATTTAAACCGCAGGTTTCAGCGGTTTCCAGGGGAGCATTTGCACAATTAAAACTCGTGCGCCAGCTGCGCCCGTATCTTGGGAAGTCGGACTTGGCCACGGTAGTCCACGCTCTCGTCACATCCTGCATAGATTACTGCAACGCGCTCTACGTGGGGTTGCCCTTGAAGACTGCCCGGAAGCTTCAGATGGTCCAGCGCTCGGCAGCCAGGTTGTTAACGGGAGCGGCACTCAGGGAGCATACCACTCCTCTGTTGAGCCAGCTCCACTGGCTGCCAATCTGCTACCGGGCACAATTCAAGGTGCTGGCTTTAGCCTATAAAGCCCTAAACGGTTCCGGCCCCACTTACCTCTCCGAACGCATCTCCACCTATGAACCGACGAGGACATTAAGATCGTCCGGGGAGGCCCTGCTCTCGGTCCCGCCTGCGTCACAGGTGCGGTTGGCGGGGACGAGAGACAGGGCCTTCTCGGTGGTGGCCCCTCGGCTATGGAATGCCCTACCAGCGGACATCAGGCAGGCCCCTTCGTTGCTGGTGTTTCGGAGGAGGGTTAAGACGTGGCTCTTTGAGCAGGCGTTCGGATAGCTGTGCAATTGCAATTAAATCCAGGAAGACGGCATAACTGAACAAGGAACGGCAATGGAATGTGAGAACGGAATCTGATTTTATGTGAGGCGTTGATGTCTATGTGTGTGTCGTTTGTGTATGTTTGTCTTTACATTGTTAGTGTGCACAATTTTTACTGTAAACCGCATTGAGTCGCCGGTCACGGCTGATAAATGCGGTATACAAATAGCGTAAATAAATAAATAAATAGATGAAGAGCAGAAAGGCTCAAATGCCACCTATTAATAATAATAATATAGTAATAATAATTCAATATTATAATTATAATTATATATTTACATTACATGTAATATTACTAATAATATTACAATATAATGGTATAGTGCAATATAGTAATATATACTGATATTGTACTATGCTAATAATATAATATATTGTATGAAAATATATATTGTAAGCCGCTCTGAGTCCCCTTCGGGGTGAGAAGGGTGGCATATAAATGCCGTAAATAAATAAATAAATTCCAAGATTGAAGCTCTATGTGCAAATATTTGTGCGTACTAGTGCACCGAAATGAGAGCATAATGCTTCAGTCATACACATTCTGTCACTCAGGTATTGCACAAAGTTCAACTAAAGCTTTCTCCTGTATAAACATTTGGATCACACTGAATGGACCAAGTTCAAAACTGAAGATCTACAGGGGGATCATTTATTTGAGACAGACAAAATATTATTTTAAAACATTTTTAAACTCAATTTGGATTTTTAAAAAAGTCCATTAAGAAGAGAAGAGTTTTGATTGCTTGTCAGATCTCAAGGTTTGAGTGTTGCTAATAAAGTCAATGAGTGTACCTACCAAATTCTCACTTTATATACCGTATATACTCAATTATAAGTCAATCCGAATATAAGCTGAGGCACCTAATTTTACCACAAAAAGCTTGCAAAACATATTGATTTGAGTATAAGCTGATGTGGGAAATACAGAAGCTATGGGTAAGTTTCAAAATAAAAATAGATCCCAATAACATTGCATTAATTGAGGCATCAATAGGTTAAAGGCTTTTATCTTTTCCAGATGGAAAAGATACTGGAGATTATGAACATGGATCATCTAACATAGCCTGTGCATGAAACACACCGATTAAAGCAAATGACTGGAACCCCGTCAAAATCTGGTTAAAGGAAAACAAAATCAAGATATTAATATGATCAGTCGAAAGAGGAGGAAAAATAAGATAAATAAAAATTTAAAAGGTAATACTGATAATATGGGGAATGAAAGACAGGGAGAAGAGAGAAAAAGAGAGGGAAAGGGAAAGGGAAGAAAGAAGAGAGAACAGGAAGAAGAAAGGAAGGGGAGAATGAAGACAAAAGAAGAAGCAAAAGAAAGGAAGAACAGAATAATGAGGGAACAGAAAAGAAAGAAAAAATGAGAGAAGAATGGGGGGGGGGGGAAAGGGGAAAAAGGAAAGAAATCGGAACCTACTGATGCTTGTAAATAGAAAAAGGAACATTCCAGAAGAACTGATAAATCGCAACTTTGAATGCCTTTTTAGAGAAGAGTGGAAGTTACAAACATTTGTGTGTGTGTGTTTATTTTTTTTCTTTTTCTCTTTTTTATTTTATTTATTTATTTATTTTAGTATTACCGTGTTGGGCTTTTGCACCCCCCACCCTTTTTTTCCTTTCTATCTTTTGTCTCTTTCTCTTTTTTCTTTATTCTTACAAATTTAATGCTGCTGATTTTATCATTGTATTTTTGAAAACTTAATAAAATATTTATTTAAAAAATAGGTTAAATGCTTTTGAATCTATATAAATAAAAATGTAATGTTCATTTGTGGGATTAACATAACTCAAAAACCACTGTACGAACTGACGCCAAATTTGTACACAAGACACCTATCAGGCCAACAAGTGACCATCACTCATAATAACACTGAAAAACACAACAGAAGAGACTTAAAAAGCCAAAAAAAAACCCGTTACAACGTATACGCAAAACTACATACATACACAAACACACACATATACACATATACACAAATATATACACATATATATGCATATACACACACAACACACATATATACAAACTGGGCCACAGCAATGTGCGGCGGGGGGTGGCTAGTCTATATATATAAATTTGTTAGGGGCATCCAACGAGGAAACAAAACTCAAAAACCCCCCAACGAAACTTAACCAAAATTCCCATGCCCATAACACAACCCACAAGGTACAAACATATCTACTCAAAATGAAAAACAACACAACAACACACTCACAAAACGGCAAAACAACAAAACTCAAAAATCCCCGAATGAAACTTAACCAAAATCCCTGTGCCCATAACACAACCCACAAGGTACAAACATATCTACTCAAAAGGAAAAACAACACAACAACACACTCACAAAACGGCAAAACAACAAAACTCAAAAATCCCCCAACAAAACTTAACTAAAATCCCCGTGCCCATAACACAACCCACAAGGTACAAACATATCTACTCAAAATGAAAAACAACACAACAACACACTTTGATAAGTTTTACTATAGGCCACAGCAACGCGTGGCAGGGCACAGCTAGTACTTACATAAAACTGTAATTTAAGATAAGACTGTCCTACTCTGATTAAACCATTATTCTTATCCTTCTTCAATGTAAATGTGCTTACGTATCCTTCCAATAATAATGGAATAAAATAATAAATGTAATCAAAATAATAATAGAGTAAAATAATGGAAATGTAATAATAACAGTAATAATAGAGTAAAATAATAAACGTAATTATAATAATAAAGTACAATAATAAATGTAATAACAATAAAGTAATAATAATAGAGTAAAATAACAAATGCAATAATAACAATATATATAAATAAAAATATAATGTTCATTTGTGGGATTAACATAACTCAAAAACCTCTGGACGAATTGACACCAAATTTGGACACAATACACCTATCAGGCCAACAAGTGACCATCACTCATAAAAACACTAAAAACACTGCAGAAGAGACTTAAAAAGCCAAATAATAACAAAATACATTACAATGCATGCACATAACCATATATACACACATATACACAAATATATACACACACAAAAAACACATATACACAGTGGGCCACAGCAATGCGTGCCAGGGGGTGGCTAGTAATAAATAAAGTAAAATAATGTAATAATAATAAGTCGTGTAAAATAATAAATGTAATAGTAATAATAACAGTGTAAAATTATTAATAACACTGATTTGAAGATAAGTTGAGGGGGGCTTTTTCAGCCTAAAATACTCAAGTATATATGGTAAGTCTTTTTTCCCCCATTGGCAAATCAGATATTTCTGTGCCTATGGTAATTTGTAGAGAGAAGCCTTTCAGATATACAACTACTGACATTGGTCTCACAGAAGAATTATGGAAGCACTGTGTGTTGAATCCTTCTAGAACAGGCATGGGCAAATTTGAGCCCTCCAGGTGTTTTGGATTTCAACTCCCACAATTCACAACAGTCTACCGGCTGCTAGGAATTGTGAGAGTTGAAGTCCAAAACACCTGGAGGCCCGAAGTTTGCTCATGCCTGTTCTAGAACCTTGTTCTCTACAGATATGTTGAACTACAACCTGTGTTATTCTCAGCCAGGGAGAGAGATTCAGACTGTAACAGCAAAAACGTGCACCTCAGAGCCAAAGGTCTCCCAGATACTCACCTCCACGACAACCTCTAACAATCCCTACCGGGGTGAAATCTCGAGTGGCCAACCAGCTCGGCAGCTGCCCAACTTTCACATCCAAGAGCCGTTTATTCTGAAGAGGAACTAGGAGGCAAAATCAAGAAGGCAAAGAGCTGATTATGGGAGAGCAATCTGATGCACCTTACATTTCTATCCATACTTCCTCCAAGGAACTGAGTGGGACACAACTCCCCCTGCCTTCCCATGGAAGTGTTTTCATTGTCGCCATGTTAATTTGCTCTGTCTACCATTTGCTTCCCTATATTACATTACGTAACAAGATTTCTGTTCCTGGGTTATAAATGCCATTTCTTAATCAGTTCTATGGTAAAATCATTTCTTAATCAGTTCTATGGAACCCCAGGTTTCGGCGGTGACCAGGGGAGCATTTGCACAGCTAAAGCTTGTGCGCCAGCTGCGCCCGTACCTTGGGAAGTCTGACTTGGCCACGGTAGTCCACGCTCTGGTTACATCCCGTTTAGACTACTGCAAGCTCTCTACGTGGGGTTGCCTTTGAAGACAGCTCGGAAGCTCCAACTAGTCCAACGCTCGGCAGCCATGATTTTAACAGGAGCGGAGCGCAGGGAGCATACAACCCCCCTGTTGCACCAACTCCACTGGCTACGGATCTGCTACCGGGCTGAATTCAAAGTGCTGGCGTTGGCTTTTAAAGCCCTAAATGGTTCCGGCCCAAGCTACCTATCTGACCGCATCTCTGCCTATGAACCCACCAGGACTTTGAGATCTTCCGGGGAGACCCTGCTCTCGATCCCGCCTGCTTCTCAAGCTCGGCTGGCGGGGACGAGAGATAGGGTCTTCTCGGTGGTGGCTCCTCGGCTGTGGAACGCCCTTCCTACGGACATTAGACTAGCACCATCTCTAATGGTATTCCGCAAAAAGGTGAAGACCTGGATGTTTGTGCAGGCGTTTGAGTAATTTAGTGCAATCTGGTAATGGAACATAGGAATGGAACAATGGACGACGAACCTGGACTACGCTTGGATGATGAGAAGATTGGGTACAGTTGTTTTTCATAATAATTGTGCATTGTAATTGCTTATTGGTAATTTATGGATAATGTGTTAAGTCAATTGTTATATGTTGTATGGAACCACTGCTGTTTCTACTGTTTTTACTGTTTGTGAACCACTGTGAGTCGCCTTCGGGCTTGAGATACAGCGGTATATAAGCAAAGTAAATAAATAAATAAATAAATAATAAAAGAACATGGAAAAAAATTGGATTGCTGTGGGCTGTATGATCATATTCCAGTAACATTCCCTCCTGACGTCTGGCATGTATCTGTGGCAAGCGCCTTCAGAGATTTGTTCAGAGGCCTGCACGAAATTTATTTATTTATTTATAATTCAAACTTATATGCCGCCACTCCCCTGGGGCTCGGAGCGGCTTACAAGAACAGGCTAAAATCTAACACAATTTAAAAATAATTAAAACAGCAATATCAAAGCTTCAAAGGCCTGTTGAAACAGATATGTCTTACATGCCCTGCGGAAAACTGATAAATCCCGCAAGGCACAGACTTTGGGTGGCAGAGTATTCCAGAGTGATGGTGCCACTGCTGTAAAGGCTCTGCATCTGGTTGCTGTTAAAAAATGCAATACAACTGTTTGGTTTGCTCCTGACACGATAAATAAATAAATGCTATTAAAGATTGCTAATTAAAACATTCACACTTGCTTCAAAATAGACAAGGGCTCTTCCTCCCACCCTGGACATCATTCCACAGAGGGGGCCTCCAGGCAACAGAGACCAGGCTACCTCTATCCAGAGACTTTCATTGATTGTCTTTGCAAACTTCAAGGTTACTCAGTGCTATGCAAGCTTGCTAATTGCAACATTCACACTTGCTTCAAATAGACAAGGGCTCTTCCTCCCACCCTGGACATCACTCCACAGAGGAGGCCTCCAGGCAACAGAGACCAGGCTACCTCTATCCAGAGACTTTCATTGATTGTCTTTGCAAACTTCAAGGTTACTCAATGCTTGCTAATTAAAACATTCACACTTGCTTCAAATACACAAGGGCTATTTCTCCTACCCTGGACATCATTCCACAGAGGGGGGCCTCCAGGCAACAGAGGTCAGGTGACCTTTATGCAGAAACTTTTATTGATTGTCTTGCAAATTTCAAGGTTACTCAATGCTATGCAAGCTTGCTAATTGCAACATTCACACTTGCTTCAAATAGACAAGGGGAGGCCTCCAGGCAACAGAGGCCAGGCTACCTCAATGCAGAGACTTTCATTGATTGTCTTTGCAAACTTCAAGGTTACACAATGCTATGCAAGCTTGCTCATTGCAACATTCACACTTGCTTCAAATAGACAAGGGGGGCCTCCAGGCAACAGAGGCCAGGCTACCTCAATGCAGAGACTGTCATTGATTGTCTTTGCAAGCTTCAAGGTTACTCAGTGCTATGCAAGCTTGCTAATTGCAACATTCACACTTGCTTCAAATAGACAAGGGCTCTTCCTCCCACCCTGGACATCATTCCACAAAGGGGGCCTCCAGGCAACAGAGGCCAGGTGACCTTTATGCAGAGACTTTCATTGATTGTCTTTGCAAACTTCTAGGTTACTCAGTGCTATGCAAGCTTGCTAATTGCAACATTCACACTTGCTTCAAATACACAAGGACTCTTCCTCCCACCCTGGACATCATTCCACAGAGGGGGCCTCCAGGCAACAGAGGCCAGGTGACCTTTATGCAGAGACTTTCATTGATTGTCTTTGCAAGCTTCAAGGTTACTCAATGCTTGTTAATTAAAACATTCACACTTGCTTCAAATAGACAAGGGCTCTTTCTCCTACCCTGGACATCATTCCACAGAGGGGGCCTCCAGGCAACAGAGGCCAGGCTATCTCTATGCAGATACCCTCACTGATTGACTTTGCAGCTTCGTGGTGGCTGCTGGATGCTATTCAAGTTTGCTAATTGCAACATCCATAAACAGACAAGGGCTCTTCCTCCCACCCTGGACATCATTCCACAGAGGAGGGCCTCCAGGCAACAGAGGCCAGGTGACCTTTATGCAGAGACTTTCATTGATTGTCTTTGAAAACTTCATGGTTACTTAATGCTATGCAAGCTTGCTCATTGCAACATCCACACTTGCTTCAAATAGACAAGAGCTCTTTCTCCTACCCTGGACATCACTCCACAGAGGGGGCCTCCAGGCAAGAGAGGCCAGGCTACCTCTATGCAGAGAACTTCAGTGATTAGCTTTGCAGCTTCATGGCTGCTCAATGCTATTCAAGATTGCTAATTAAAACATTCACACTTGCTTCAAATAGACACGGGCTCTTTCTCCTACCCTGGACATCATTCCATTTTACTTTTTACTGTTTACTATTATTACTTTAATGTTTTTGATTTGCCTTTGGTTTATATGTAATGGTTATATTGTTGTTTTATTGTGGCCTTGGCCTTTGTAAGCCGCATCGAGTCCTTCGGGAGATGTTAGCGAGGTACAAATAATGTTAATAATAATAATACCCTGGGCAGCTTTCCACACTGGGGGCAACAGGCAGAGGCCAGGCTACCTCTATGCAGAAAACTTCACTGATTGGCTTTGCAGCTTCATAGCTGCTCAATGCTATGCAAGATTGCTAATTGCAACATTCACACTTGCTTCAAATAGACAAGGGGGGCCTCCAGGCAACAGAGGCCAGGCTACCTCAATGCAGAGACTTTCATTGATTGTCTTTGCAAACTTCAAGGTTACTCAATGCTATGTAAGCTTGCTAATTGCAACATTCACACTTGCTTCAAATAGACATGGGCTGTTTCTCCCACCCTGGACATCATTCCACAGAGGATGCCTCCAGGCAACAGGCTACCTCTATGCAGATACCCTCACTGATTGGCTTTGCAGCTTCATAGCTGCTCAATGCTATGCAAGCTTGCTAATTCCAACATTCACACTTGCTTCAAATAGACAAGGGCTCTTCCTCCCACCCTGGACATCATTCCACAGTGGGGGCCTCCAAGCAACAGAGGCCAGGCTACCTCTATGCAAATACCCTCACTGATTGACTTTGCAGCTTTGTGGCTGCTGGATGCTATTCAAGTTTGCTAATTGCAACATCCATAAACAGACAAGGGCTCTTCCTCCCACCCTGGACATAATTCCACAGGGGGTGCCTCCAAGCAACAGAGGCCAGGCTACCTCTATGCAGAGACTTTCATTGATTGTCTTTGCAAATTTCAAGGTTACTCAATGCTATGCAAGATTGCGAATTGCAACATTCACACTTGCTTCAAATAGACAAGGGGGGCCTCCAGGCAACAGAGGCCAGGCTACCTCAATGCAGAGACTGTCATTGATCGTCTTTGCAAACTTCAAGGTTACTCAATGCTATGCAAGCTTGCTAACTGCAACATCCACACTTTCTTCAAATAGACAAGGGCTCTTCCTCCCACCCTGGACATAATTCCAGAGAGGGTGCTTCCAGGCAACAGAGACCAGGCTACCTCTATGCAGATACCCTCACTGATTGGCTTAGCAGCTTCATAGCTACTGGATGCTATTCAAGTTTGCTAATTGCAACATTCACACTTGCTTCAAATAGACAAGGGGGGCCTCCAGACAACAGAGGCCAGGCTACCTCTATGCAGATACCCTCACTGATTGACTTTGCAGGTAGGCTGTTAGGAATTGTGGGAGTTGAAGTCCAAAACACCTGGAGGGCAGGCCCAAGCTAGCTGTATGCCTGGGCTAAAAGAAGGCCTGCAAACATTCACAGAAGGGAGGAAGGAGCGTAGGCCTCAAACCCAGTAGGCCTCAAACCCAACCTCAGCTCGATTGGGAAGGCCAGTCCCCTGGCTTCCTTTCTCTTCTTGGCCTTTGGGGTCTAGGCCTCGACGGAGCCGGGTCACCTTGGCAACTCCCTCCCTGAGCGCAGCTTACCGGGTCTGTCCGCCATCTTGCCGCCCTGTCAAGGAGCTTCCGGCAACGCCGAGGGATGCTGGGAGGAGAAGGAGGCCGCGCATGCGCACAAGGGAGAAGGAAGAGGAGGCCGCGCAGGCGCACAAGGGAGAAAGTGAAGCTTATAGTGGGCGGGGCTAAAGTCGCTCAAGCAAAAAAGGGAGAAGAAGACCGCGCAGGCGCAGAAGGGAAGAGAAGAAGGAGGAGGAGGAGGAGGACGAGGGGCTGCGCATGCGCAAAAGGGAGAAAGTGAGGCTTGTAGTGGGCTGCACATCACAAGTGTTGAACCTGAATCATAGAATCAAAGAGTTGGAAGAGACCTCCTGGGCCATCCAGTCCAACCCCATTCTGCCAAGAAGCAGGAATATTGCATTCAAATCACCCCTGACAGATGGCCATCCAGCCTCTGCTTAAAAGCTTCCAAAGAAGGAGCCTCCACCACACTCCGGGGCAGAGAGTTCCACTGCTGAACGGCTCTCACAGTCAGGAAGTTCTTCCTCGTGTTCAGATGGAATCTCCTCTCTTGTAGTTTGAAGCCATGGCTCCATCGCGTCCTAGTCTCCAGGGAAGCAGAAAACAAGCTTTCCCCCTCCTCCCCCCTGTGGCTTCCTCTCACATACTGTATTTATACATGGCTATCATGTCTCCTCTCAGCCTTCTCTTCTTCAGGCTAAACATGCCCAGCTCCTTAAGCCGCTCCTCATAGGGCTTGTTCTCCAGACCCTTGATCATTTTAGTCGCCCTCCTCTGGACACATTCCAGCTTGTCAATATCTCTCTTGAATTGTGGTGCCCAGAATTGGACACAATATTCCAGGTGTGGTCTAACCAAAGCGGAATAGAGGGGTAGCATTACTTCCTTAGATCTAGACACTATGCTCCTATTGATGCAGGCCAAAATCCCATTGGCCTTTTTTGCCGCCACATCACATTCCTGGCTCATGTTTAACTTCCTCCCCACGAGGACTCCAAGATCTTTTTCACACGTTCTGCTCTCGAGCCAGGCCTCATCGTCCCCCGTTCTGTATCTTTGCATTTCGTTTTTTCTGCCTAAGTGGAGTATCTTGCATTTGTCCCTGTTGAACTTCAACAGTCTTATTTATGCTGATGATCATGTCATCACCGCCCAAGCAGGGGACTTTGAAAAGGAGGAACAGAAGCTCTCCGAAGCTTTAGGGCAGTGGTTCTCAACCTTCCTAATCCCGCGACCCCTTACTACAGGTCCTCATGTTGTGGTGACCCCCAACCATAACATTATTTTTGTTGTTATTTCATAACTGTAATTTTGCTACTGTTTTGAATGGTAATGTAAATATCTGATATGCAGGATGTATTGTCATTCACTGGACCAAATTTGGCACAAATACCCGATGCACCCAAAATTTGAATACTGGTGGGTTTGGGGGTGATTGATTTTGTCATTTGGTAATGCTGAAGTTGCTGGGATTTATAGTTCACCTTAAATCAAAGAGTCTTCTGAACTCCATCAATGATGGAATTGAATCAAACATGGCACACAGAATTCCCATGACCAAGAGAAAATATTTGGAAGGTTTGGTGGACATTACCTTGAGTTTTTGGAGTTGTAGTTCACCTATATCCAGACTGTGGACTCAAGCAATGATGGATCTGGATCAAACTTGGCACAAATACTCAATATGCCCAAATGTGAACACTGGTGGAGTTTGGAGAAAATACACCTTGCCATTTGGGAGTTGTAGTTGTTGGGATTTATAGTTCACCCAGAATGAAATAGCATTCTGAACCCCACCAATGATAGAATTGGACCAAACTTTCCACACAGAACCCCCATGACCAACAGAAAATACTATGTTTTCTGATGGTCTTTGGCGACCCCTCTGACACCCCCTCGCGACCCCCACAGGGGTCCCGACCCCCAGGTTGAGAAACACTGCTTTAGGGGCTCTTACTGCCTATTACAAGGAAAACCAGCTTGCTCTATCAATTTATAACGTTTATGCAAATGACCAGCCACTGCCAGAAGGGATAGAGAATTTCATCTATGCTGATGATAGTGTCATCACCGCCCAAGCAGGGAACTTTGAGATGGTTGAACAGAAGCTCTCCAAAGCTTTAGGGGCTCTTACTGGCTATTACAAGGAAAACCAGCTTGCTCTATCAATTTATAACGTTTATGCAAATGACCAGCCACTGCCAGAAGGGATAGAGAATTTCATCTATGCTGATGATAGTGTCATCACCGCCCAAGCAGGGAACTTTGAGATGGTTGAACAGAAGCTCTCCAAAGCTTTAGGGGCTCTTACTGGCTATTACAGGGAAAACCAGCTTGCTCTATCAATTTATAACGTTTATGCAAATGACCAGCCACTGCCAGAAGGGACTGAGAGTTTCATCTATGCTGATGATAGTGTCATCACCGCCCAAGCAGGGAACTTTGAGATGGTTGAACAGAAGCTCTCCAAAGCTTTAGGGGCTCTTACTGGCTATTACAAGGAAAACCAGCTTGCTCTATCAATTTATAACGTTTATGCAAATGACCAGCCACTGCCAGAAGGGACTGAGAGTTTCATCTATGCTGATGATAGTGTCATCACCGCCCAAGCAGGGAACTTTGAGATGGTTGAACAGAAGCTCTCCAAAGCTTTAGGGGCTCTTACTGGCTATTACAGGGAAAACCAGCTTGCTCTATCAATTTATAACGTTTATGCAAATGACCAGCCACTGCCAGAAGGGACTGAGAGTTTCATCTATGCTGATGATAGTGTCATCACCGCCCAAGCAGGGAACTTTGAGATGGTTGAACAGAAGCTCTCCAAAGCTTTAGGGGCTCTTACTGGCTATTACAGGGAAAACCAGGTTGCTCTATCAATTTATAACATTTACACAAATGATCAGCCACTGTTAGAAGGGACTGAGAGTTTCATCTATGCTGACGATCGTGCCATCACCGCCCAAGCAGGGAGCTTTGAAATGGTTGAACAGAAGCTCTCCGAAGCTTTAGGTGCTCTTACTGCCCGTTACAGGGAAAACCAGCTTATTCCTAATCCATCTAAAATGCAGATGTGTGCTTTTCACCTTAAGAACAGACGAGCATCCCGAGCTTGGAGGATTACCTGGGAAGGAATCTCACTGGAGCATTGCAGCACACCTACATACCTGGGAGTCACTCTGGACTATGCTCTGACTTACAAGAAGCACTGCTTGACTATCAGGCAAAGAGTTCCACTATAAAATGGCCTGTATATTCAGGATGTTCTTCCTAATGTTCAGGTGGAATCCCCTTTCCCATCATTTGATTTTTGTTGAGTTCCACAGCCAGAGAAAAGGTGGCGGAAATAGAAGAACGGCCTGTCTCAGGAGCGTGCTTGTTCCATCAATGTTTAACATTTACACAAATGGTCAGCCAGTGCCAGAAGGGACAGAGAGTTTCCTCTATGGTGACGATCATGCCATCACTGCTCAAGCAGAGAGCTTCGAAATGGTTGAACAGATGCTCTCAGTATTCTTACTGGCTATTCCAGGGAAAACCAGCTGATTCCTAATCCATCTAAAACACAGACGTGTGCTTTTCACCTTAAGAAGAAGCAAGCACTCTGAGCTCTGAGGATTATGACCTGGGAAGGAATCCCACTGGAGCATCGCAGCACATCCAAATACCTGGGAGTTTCTCTGGCACGTATTGCCTTCAATTTGCTTCTGACATAATAAATAAGATCTGGAATAACCAATCGTTGTTGAGTACATCCATTGCAGAAAAACTATTCAATATGGGATGTTTAACGTTTACACAAATGACCAGCCACTGCCAGAAAGGACAGAGAGTTTCATCTATGCTGATGATCATGTCATCACCGCTCAAGCAGGGAGCTTTGAGATGGTTGAACAGAAGCTCTCCGAAGCTCTAGTTGCTCTAACTGCCTATTACAGGGAAAACCAGATAATCCCTAATCCATCTAAAATGCAGACGTATGCTTTTCACCTGAAGAACAGACAAGCATCTTGAGCTCTGAGGATTGACTATCAAACAAAAAGTGTAATTAATTACATAGATGAAGACATCAAGATGTAAGCACAAACCGGACATTAAATAAAATACCTCCCCTATTTTTAGTCATCTGGAATAACCAATCGTAGTTGAGTATATCTATTGCAACAAAACCACTCAATATGGGATGTTTAGCACTTATGACCAGCCACTGCCAGAAGGGACAGAGAGTTTCATCTATGCTGATGATCGTGCCATCACCGCTCAACCAGGGAGCTTTGACATGGTTGAACAGAAGCTCTTCAAAGCTTTAGGTGCTCTTACTGCCTATTACAGTGTTCCCTCACTTATTGTGGGGGTTCTGTTCCTGCGATAAGTGAAAATCCGCAAAATAGGGATGCTATATTTATTTTAATATTAATATGTATACATTATTTTATTTATACATTATTTTAGTAGTTACAGTATACACTATTCCCTCTTGTGTCTTCAGAGGTTGCACTAGATGGCTTTTGAGGTCTCCTCCCACTTTTGGATTCTATGACAGGCTGGTTGGTCATCTGTCAGGAGGGCTTTGATTGTGTCCTTCTGGCCTAGCAAACTGGGGTTGGACTAGATGGCCTTCGGGGTCCCTTCCCACTCTATGACAGGCTGGATGGTCATCTGTTGGGAGGGCTTTGATGGTGTCCTTCTGACCTATCAGACTGGGGTTGGACTAGATGGCCTTCGAGGCCCCTTCTCACTTTTGGATTCTATGACAGGCTGGATGGTCATCTGTCAGGAGGGCTTTGATAATGTCCTTCTGGTCTAGCAGACTGGGGTTGGACTAGATAGCCTTTGGAGTCCCTCCCCACTCTTGGATTCTATGACAGGCTGGATGGTCATCTGTCGGGAGCACTTTGATGGTGTCCTTCCAGCCCAGCAGACTAGGGTTGGGCTAGATGACCTTCGGAGTCCCTTCCCATTCTAAGATTCTATAACAGGCTGGATGGTCATCTGTCGGGAGGGCTTTGATGGTGTCCTTCCAGCCCGACACTGGGGTTGGACTAGATGACCTTCGGTGTCTCTTCCCACTCTTGGATTCTATGGCAGGCTAGATGGTCATCTGTTGGGAGTGCTTTGA